ACCACATATATTGTAAATGCTAAGAGGAAGCATTTATTTACTTCATCTCCTTTCTTAACGGCTTTGGTCCCAATTGCGGCCACGTCAGATCCTGCACCAGGCTCAGACACGCAATATGCCTAAAGAGAAGAGTAAATATATAATCACAAGCACCAATTGTGGTTCAGTTACCTTAATTTGGTGCTTATTGATGAGTGTGAGGCAACACACATCACCAGTAACTTACATTGCTGGCTAAAATCATTACCATAATCATCAACAATTATTCACCAAAGTGGAGGTGAATATTGATGGATATTTACTGGACCGTGATGAAGAAAGTAAATATCCACCACTTTCATGGGCACTGAGGTGAAAAATTGTTTCCAATATACCACACAGATACATAACCATATTCTTTCACTATACTAAAAAATGGTTGGAAATATAAATCTTGACACGCAATTTTGTCTAATCAGCTGCTCAAATCTGAGTAGTACTTGCTATTCACTTCCAAACTGACCAAACAGTACTATTTACTTGTGTGGTATATAATAAAACTACATATAATTCTACAGTGAGTTAAATTTACATGTGGACTTAACATATTTAAAAGTTATGAATACATGTAAGTGAAAGTTGATATACATACAGCCATCAGAGGTTCTTCCATCATACGACCAAGGTATTTTGCTTTTTGTTCTTTATTTCCAGCTAGGATGACAGGCATTTCCTGTGTGAGATGGCAGAGAGTAAGGAAAAATCATCACATTGAAGTGCCTGTGATTACCAATAAAATTGGATAATCCCTGATAACATGATTTTATCTCATGCACTCATTTGAAAAATTTTTCACTCCAAACAAAGCACCAGACACTTTATGTTTCTGAGATAAAAGTTACTTCTCACCTGTGTTAGGACAAGAATAATTTTTTTCTAATACCGTAACATTCCGAAAATAAGCCCCTCCTTGTATAAGCCCCTCCAGCAAAAATACCTCTTATAATAAGCCCCTCTGAATATAAGCCCCCGTGGGCTTGGATTTGGAAATTATCCTCAATTATACAAACCAAAGCAAACTACACATAATCACCATTATCAAGAAGCCCTTTTTAGTCATAAAATAATGATTCTATGCACTAAAGCAATGTGGTCAACAAGTGTTGAAGTTTATTGTCTTTTATGCAGTTCGCTCTTCACTTGCGCTTTGAATTCCTTCAGTCTGTAGACAAAGTATTTGCAAGGAAGTTTGATCCCACCAGCCTGAACCTAAAGTCCCTCTGGTACTCCTCAAGCAATATGAGCTTTCATAGTTATCATGAACTTTGAGCCTGAACTACGTTACTGTTTTTACTGAATTTCCATCCTAATAAAGTTTATTGTCATTGTGTTTTAACTTGGCATTTTCAGTGTGATTAAATTGTTACAAATTTTTTAGCCAAAACCCTAGTATTACCAGTTGCACATTCAAAAATTTTGACACAAATTTCCCTCCAATTATAAGCCCAGCCAATTGTGAAATGCAAATTTCCCTCCTATAATAAGCCCCTCTGAATAAAAAAAATAAGCCCCTCAAAAAGGTCCTTTGAAAAATGTAAGCCCCTGGGCTTATTTTCAGAATTTTACAGTATATGAAAAATATACATTTAGAAAGAATATGAATAAAAATGCTTTAAATAAAATAATTTAAGTAAGGATTATTTTTTCAGTAAAAAGCCACCACTTACTGCCAAAGAGTTTGCTTCAATAGCAGTTTGAATTCCAGTACATCCATATGAGAGCTCCTCTGTAACTACGCAACCATCAAGAACACCAAGTGCAGGACCCCCTTATAAGAATTAAAACATGCATTGTCAGTGAGTCAACAATTCCTGCACACAATGATATTGCAAAGCTATGATAAGAAGTTAAAAGTACAGCTTAAAAAACACAATAAACTAAATTTTGAATCCAACAGGCACTCACCATACTCCTCTGGAATATGACCATTTATGAGTCCCAAAGCATGAGCTTTCTTGATAATCTCCCAAGGATACTGAGGAATACAAAATGAATGTCATGTACCATCCCTAATAGATGTACAGCAGTCATGAAAGTCATGTTATTTGCAATATCTAATGTGCTCAAGCAACAATTAGCGGGGAATTTTGGACTGATGTGTAATAGATTGTACTATTGATGCACAACAAGTATATATATTCAGCTTTAGTGTATTTTAGCTTTAGTTTATGTATTCAGCTTAAGCGTATTTCTATATGGAGTGTAATATATCAATGTACTATTGACGTATGACAAGTACATGTATTCAGCTTTCGTGAACATCCTTACAAACTGTACTATCCAGATACATGTACAGTTGTATGTGTTTCAAGGTATCTTACCTCACCAGTCTGATCATGATGGGCAGCAACTGGTACGATTTCCTCACGGGAGAACTTCCTAGCCATTTCTTGAAGTTGCTGTAACTCTTCAGAAAGTTCTAATGGCAAAAGAATGATGGATGTGTTAATGAGTTTCCAAACCTTTTTCATAAAATAGTATGGTAAAATAAGAGGGGAAAACATTAATATTACGTGTCTCTTCACAGATTAAACTTCACTATTATCATAATTGGAGCAGTTTTCAAATCAGGGTGACAATAATCTGTCAATGTACTGTTTTTACCTCTATATGCTCTGTGAGAGTTCAAGAAAACTTTTGCCTCCTTTCTACTCTGCTATATAAATCTCATTAACAACAATTTGGGATGCAGGGTGGGATGCAATTTTTCAATTTTATAATATTTCATTAATTACTTGTAAATCATTGTGTATTATTTTTCTAATAATTTTTCACTAATTGGCCCTCTACCGACAGACCTAACCTGTGAGCACATCTATATACAGAGTTCAACAACCATATTGAAGACATATATGTATCACAATCATTTTCTGTTAGTACTGTGTTTATCCAGTACAAAATGTTCAAAACAAAACAATAATAACTCACCAAATGAAAGGCCAGAATTGAATGTTGATGCCTCCAACTTGATGGCTGATGCTTCTGTACTAAGCTTTGCTCTCTTTCAAAAAAAAAAAAAAAAAGAAATCAGGACATCATTAAGTTGAAGTCCAACTCCAATAAGCTTTAAGGACCAAGGATTGCAACAAATTTTGGCCCTGGACCTAGTTTAGCAAAGCTGTTTTCTAAAGCATCTTTAAATTCCCCAAGGATATCAAAATCAGTCTTACTGTTAAAACTAGAAAAATAGATTCGAATAAATTTACATGAACTTTAAAAAACCCATCAACGGCTGTGTTCATTGTATGTCTAAGATATAGCTTAAATTAGCCTTACTTTAATCAACTCGCTTCAAGGTTCCAACCCACAGTCATGAAAAGTGATCATGCAGTGGACTGGTTTGTTATCGACTTCAATCCTCTTCACGACATGTCCGCTTCCATCTCAGGCAAGAATATTTGCTCTAAAAAAAAATTTAATGTAAAGTCGAAAGCCAAAATTCTTACCAGAGCAGTGACTCCAGCAGAAATAATTCCCCTCTGAAAGATAAAAAACCATGGAACATTGAAACAAAAATTATGACTTCTATCTCAAAAATGCAGACAGCTGAGCCCTTGAACTAAATGCATGTCAGCCCTAAACTTAACCAAGAAATATAGTAACCCATCAAGCCAAGAGGACTTGGTTGGCTATTCATTCCTTGTTTGAAGTAGGCTAAAGCTCGGAGAATTTGTCCACTTAAAAGCCAAATTGATTTTTGGAATCTCTTGACATTTCTAAACAAACATCTGATTTTCTTAGGAAGTTTGAGAGAACCTTTTGGTGGAAGTCATGTGAAAATTTCTGACTGACAGGCATTTAGTCACAGCGTTTTGGGAAAATCAAATCAAATGAAGGTAACTGTTAAATTGTTTCCTCAGAAATTTGGGCTTCTACTCCGACGATCTTACCAAAGTCTTTGAAACTGAACCATTCATGACGACTTTCGTAGTTAACTTACGTAATCGATTGATTTCGTAAAGAGATTTCTCTACTTATCTGACGATCGCGGGTCATTTCATCGATAACTACCCACCCTGAGTTAAGTCTGATTTATTCAGTTTATTCTATGCCACTGGATGTCTTACCTGTAGTCCAAAACCACCATTCCGTCGGAGAAAACTCAGGGAAGCCATGTTCACTTGTATTCAAGAAGACAGCGTACAAAGTTCAGTACAGATCGAGGTCATAAAGGAAAAACAATAGAGAGAAGACTGGTACCTAACAGACGGTAAGACCACCACAGGGGACGAGGGGTGGGTGGGGATACTTCCCAATTATTTATTGCGCGCCTTCCTCCGAAGAAAAAAGTCATCGAATAATTTTTTGTAGACTTTCATTAAATGCCTAATGTCTGTTTCGAAAAATGCAATAAAAATATAGATCACCGTACTTGACTGAGAGATACGGGCCAAACTTACCCCGTTTATGCCTGAACTTGCACTAATCACGTGCGTCATTTAATCGGTTCACGGTAATATTTTGCGGTAGCGGGAAGCAAGGGTTATGACAGTAAAAGTTAAAATAACTTGATTGGTAGTAAGTCTCGACGTATAGGATAATTTGATGCATAGTTTGTGGAAAAATCACGCAGTTTTAAACAACATTGACTCAAAACGTTCCTCGAGTCATTGCTTCCAAGGCCATAATTTGTGTCTTCAAGTAATGGCCTTCGTGCACGCTTTTAACCATATCTTTCTCTTGCCTTCGATGATTTTTTAAAAATTTTTCCAATTTAAAGGGGGAAATTTGTATACCAAAATTATGCAATAAAAGAATACCGCGCTTGTTCAAGAGCTTAAGACCATGGTACCTCATTACCTCGTCTATTGATTGAAAAACAATCCCATGTTGTCGGAATGCACAAGCGCTTATTCGCCTTTGACCACTTTGCAAATGTATGACCATCGTTTCTCGGTCCCAGACCTCGTCGCTTCCCCCCAAAACCGCCAAACGCTCTCGAGAACTGAGCTTGGGATGTCTGTGCAGACACTGTGTCGCTTAAACAAAGATGGCGGAGAAAGTGGCCGATACGAAGGAAACGAAATCAGCCGTAGGATCAGGTGAAGGCCATCAAGACGCTTTCAGGGAGGGCATTCTGCAAATGTTTCGACCGGCAGTTGAAGAACTGGACAGTAAAGCTCTAAGTGTGAGGTACTAATGGCATTGAGAGGGGTTCAACATCTTTCCTTTCCTTTATCTTTGCAAGCCATACTTACATTAAAAAAAAAGGAAAACAGACCCAAAAGCGAAGATAGACTCAGAAAGAGAGAGAGAGGGAGGGGGGGGGGGAGATCGATCCTACTATGATTAAAGAATTTTATCTTTTAAATGTTACAGACAATCTGTTCGTACTAAATTATGGTACAATGGCCAAATTAAATAATAGGATTTCTGTAACGTCAAGATTTTAACGTTTCTCGGAAAGAAATACCACACAGTCAAAAATCGTTAAATGTGCTACTCTGAGTGCCTTAACACGAAACTCCGCGTTAGTAATAGGTGAAGGGGCAGAGTTAACAAATAGATTCCAGGTTTTGGTGCATCTGTTCAGTAATACAACACAGATGACATCAAAATGCAGTAAGAAAAAAAAAAAGTGGCACACAAGTTACAGCTTTATTTAGCCCAGGATAGCCATCCAAATGATCAATTTTTATTTTCAGAAAAAGTCAAGTTGAGTTACGGGAACAAATTGACAAGTTAGCACAAGGTTAGTGTAAGTTTTAAATGTTGTTGAATGAATTATTTTGATCAGATGGTGTAATTGCACCTCATCTTTCATTATTTAAGTTGTGTCTGGTAATCTTTTGTCTAGATCTGCATAGATTGTCTGAGCTTCAAGAGTTCCCAATTGACCTCGAACCATATGTAAAGAAACTGATGAATTCAAGAAGAAGAGTTATGTTGGTAAACAACATACTACAAAATGCTCAGGTACTGGAATCTACACACTCTTGCATGACTTTGCACATAAACACAGATTTTGAATTAATTTAGCAAAAGATTGTCTTATGCTTGTGAAATGCAGTTCATGGCCATTATGACACTGTATCTGATGCCTCATGCAAACTTGTGGCAAGTGACTCCTTGGTGAATGCAGTAATCAAATTTTAGCAGAGCCACTGAGCTATTGATAACATACTATATTTATTTGGCTATGAGCCAAGACCCCAAACTTTGTACATGTAGACTCTGCATAATGAGAATCAAAATTAAATCGAAAACACCTGGCTATAAGCCGAGACCCATTCATTATCATTGAAAAAAATCACATTAATTGTCATAAATGAGGCTTAAACAATGGTGATTTAATATGTAAAGGACAAAAAAGCTAACTATTAAATTGAAAAGCAATGAATCAAAACTCAGATGAATTAATGTGATCCAAAATATCAATTTAAAACTAACTGTGTTGAGACACGGATGCAGTTCGAACTACCATCCAGTCGCACTCTTGAATTGGAATTAAAAGTTAATAACCAATGATTGCATATTGTGTTTCTTTACTTTAGCTTGGCTTATAAGTAAATACATCCCAATTTAGTAGAGTTTCCATGCACTGGAAAAATTTTTTTCAAAAACTTTCGGCTATAAGCTGAGACCCCCTCTAGAGCCTAAATTTTAATTCACTTCAGTTTTAATCTGTGTAAAAATTGCTTGGCTTATAGTTGAATAATTACAGTACTAAAAAAAGTTGCAAGGTTCATAGTTAACTTGGAGTAACTTCTTTTGTGTAATTATTGCCCATTCTTATTGAAGAGAGAAGATTAAGGTCACAAGAGCTCACTTAAATCTGTTTAAGAATTACATCCTTAGTACTAGTATCCATTTTTATGAATGAAAAGGACTTGGTTGGCTCAATTTCATTTTTGCCTTCAAGTCTAGTCTTCATTCCTCCTTGACAAGAGACATTTTGGCAAGGCTGTTGATAACTTTGAAATTAGAAGGCATACAAGAAATAGTAGGTGGCTGGATTGTCATGGAGGCCATATTGTTTTGTCAGTCAACATGCAAGCCTGAGAACTGTTCACACAAAATGTCCTAGGCATTCAGTAAATTTTGTGCATACATTCTAAGAAATCGTGAAGGTGGAATTGATTGACATAATAATCTTAACCTGTTATCAGTACATCGTGCATGCTGTTTCACTCAAAACTGGGAAATGGTTACTGTCAGTACAAATATCTTTGTTTTACATATGCTAATGTGAAGTTTACGTAGATAACACTTGTCACACTTGACCATCACTGATCCTTTCTGATAAAAAGTCACCTATGTGGTGTTTTTATACCATTATGATAGGAAATTATTATTTCAAGATTTAACAGAGAGAGTTATGGGGTTTAGTGGATTTCTTTGGTGCCTCACACTTCAATTGATAACAATTTGAATTTTAACATTTTATTTAGGAAAGACTTGGAAGGCTTCATCAAAGTGTCACAAGAGAGACTGCAAGGAGGAAAGCTCTGCTGGAACCATCTGAGTTTTCATGATAGTGTCAACTAAAATATACAGTACAAGGGTATTAATGGACAAATATTGGATGGTATACTTTTATGAATAGTTGTAGATATAATTATTAAAATTTCTTTAAAAACAAAAAATAATCATGAATGCACAACACATATTAAAGTGAATTTGAATCATGCTTAATTGCATTATTTGTGAACCATAAATTCTGAAGAAGCTTTTTTTTATGTCAGTAGGACCCTGCTAACATGAACTTGCAGAAGATCCAATTTTCCTCTACCCCAATTTTTCAGTCATTTACTCTCAGCCAAGCCGAAACCCCTATGAACTTGAACTTTACTTGTTTCCCTTGGAAGTTCAGGCAGGATTCTACCCCTGAGAATAGAAGAAGTTAAAATATGAAGGGTTTTCAGTTGGACAGTCTCTATATCATGGACACTTTCAAGATGCATGGTTGAATTAAAGGTACATGTGAATTTTTTCTGTGGCTTTCATTGTGCGAAGCTGTTTGGATATACGTCACAACATGTTTCAGTGTGTACGAATTTTGTAATAGATCGTAAGTTTGTGAATAAGACATAACAGTGAATATGAAAGCAGTCTTGGTAATGATACTTAATACTTAATTGCAACTTTGTTTACTGATGAAAATTTTTACTAATGCTCCACATGCATCATGTACACTACCTTTGGACTGTCAGATTTCAAATTTTTGGAAACTTGTAGTACTGTTACTAGTAGAACAGAGATCAGACACATATTAGATAAACATGCCCACACAAAGTATCAAGAAATCCCATTTTGTGGAGTCTGTCACATTCATCCTTTGACCCTTTTTGAGAGTGACTAGCATCTAAAATCTCCTTACAACATCACACATTTAGGTTACAAGAATAAAGGAAATGATTACTAACTAAAGAACCTCTTGATTTGCACACAACTTCTCTTGACAGCACTGTAGGAAATTTATATAAAACAGTATGGAAAATATGTACACTGATGTTGAGGGGTTGTGTTGTCCGTTGTAGATTTTCTTTAGTGGCACAATTCACTTGGAAGCTTAAACCATGCTTTGTTTTTGTGAAGTTTAGAACTCTCGGCAGAAAGACGTAACATTATATAATGCGTTTCACTCCATTTATAACTAGGCCTGGTGTTACATGATATAATCAGGAAAGAAGAAAAGTGTTAACCAATAAAACAAGTTGAAGGTAAAGAATACAAACGAAAACAGCTTGAGAGAAAACTCATCGACGCCAACGATAAAAGCTTCGCGATAAATATATTCCTGAACACCGTTCCAACATTTCCCACAATTACTTTGCGTCTCGGTTTGTGGAACATGCATCCCCAGGTTCTCGTCCGAGCAGCATTTTAAACACTTTCCATTTGTGAGGCTAGCAGATTTTGCTCTTCCGTTCCTGAATGCATGGATCACGTTTTCTTCGAGTGTCACCGCTGGCTGCTTGCGTCTTCTACTACCATTACCTTGTCTCACACTTTCAGCGCACTGCAGAAAAAAGAGCGCATCCGTAAGAATTGCATATAACTATGATGTATGGTTGAATTGGACTAAGGAAACAGGTTAAAGGACATCAATCGGGAAATAGAAACTGAAATTTCAAGTAATAATGAAAGAGAGAGAGTTAACGTTTTGAAGTGCGTATCTGTTTGATGTATATATGAAGAGAGTTTTACAATTTAAAGTTTTTGTCTCTCGTTTGTGAAATCGTAGGATAGTTGTAGAACATTTGGAGAGGTATTTTTTTATGCGCAACCTGTAACCTACGATTGACATTTTTGCTTTAAAGTACTTCTGTCACTTAAAAAAGCGATCGGTTCCACTTCAAAACGGTTTGACCGACAGGAAATTCACGAGACCATACTAACATTCATTTTTCCGAGGTATTTTAGAACGAATGTGTGAATTAAGCCTTGTTAGAAACCGTTTCTTAAGTTTTCCCAAACTTTCAGGATTCTTTGCTATGTTTCGACTGTGCAATGTTGTTACTCTGATTTGGCCGGTCACGTGACGCGTTTGATTCGTCTGAGTTATGTTATTTCCTAGGTTTTACCTTGTCTGTGAAGTTCCCGACTTCCTTCTTTCTTAGCTCAAACTTTCGTTTTCCTCGATCAAGTAGAAGCACAATGGCATATTCCACCAGGGAACAGAACACGAACAGGAATGATACAATCAAGTACTTGTCAATAGCTTTCACATAATTTACCTCAGAGGTAACATAAAATGGCTTTGTTAGTAAAGCTGAAAACAATTTGAGCTTCCAATTACTTCCGCTACAATTTCCTCAAATGAGATTGGTGTATTTGGCTGCTTTATTTTTGACTATATATTCTGTAGAGTTGTAATCGTACACTGGAGTCGATCACACAGTTGGCCGTAAATGGACACCTGTAATCAGACAGTCAAAGCAGCCAATCATACTAAGTCCACTAAGCTAAATCCACCAATCATAAAACTGATTACAATAGCCACAGTAACAACCACTTGCCCATAAAACTGGGGAATTTCCAAAATATAGGAATTTTTCGCCTCATATAATAAATATTGAAAGCCTTCTCTAATAAATGTAATGTATTTGTTTTTTTTTTTCGGAAATTGTAATGGTTATAATTAATTGGAACAGGACTTCGTGTTATTCAATTTAGTCGCTAACAAGCGAATATGAACAGTTGATATTCTCTTGGTCTGTAATTATACTCGTGATTGACAAATCAGACTTCCGCATCGCGGTCGTTCGATTTTGTAAACACTCGTATGACTTATACAGACCGAATTAAATTCCACTCGGACCTGTTACCATTACATAACGCTAAAACTGAGATTTAGTGAATTTTGCGGGAATTTTCAGCCAGTTTTCGATAGAGCTGAACAAGCTGTGACAAGGCTTTATAGTTGCATCTGTGGGTGTCCACATGGATTTTATTATATTCTTGTCATCACTTACTGGTCAACCTTCTCAAAAAACCCTCCCCCAATCCTTCACTTCTTTAGCTGCTACACTATTGCTGTTTTTGTTGTTGTTGTTGTTTTTGTTATATTTCAAAGCCCTACCTTGGGCATGGCATTGTTAGACATTGTAAGAATGGTTACTATAGTGAGCACTGACGTCACTCCCAGGGTGACTCGGGCAGGAGACTGGTTCCGAGGCAGTAAAAAGGTAAGCCAAGAGAGTGTGACAATAAGGGCACTGGGTCCGTACAGGTGAATCACTTGGTAACTGTACAGACGCTGTAAGGTGAATGAAGCTTTCACTCCCGACCAGTTACCTTAACAAAAATATCAACAGCTCAAGCTTTGTAGTGGCAAATATTAGGGAGAAAATATGTCCAGAGGGGTTCAGGGTAATTTAGAGACAAGTGTCTACCGTAAACCTACCCACACCGACAAATACCTCGCTTTCGATTCTCACCACCCTATTTGCCATAAAAAGTCTGTAGCCAAAACTTTACTTAGGAGGGCTGAATGTCTACCATCTTCACTCGATTCTGAGTTGAGGAGAGGAAATATGTTTCCAATGTCCTAAAGGCAAACGGCTATACAAAAACTTGCCCCGTAAAAACCAGTTACAAATAGTAACGCTCTCGATGAAAGGGAACCAGCGACTGGTTTTGCTGTTATTCCTTACATACAGGGTGTTACGGAACCCATCAAGAGAATTTTGAATAGCCACAACGTTAAAGTTGCTCAAAAACCTTTTCAGAATTTGGGGCATATTTTCGCCAAACCTAAAGATCCTGTCACGAAAGAACAACGAACTGACGCCATTTATTCTATTCCTTGTTATGACTGTGACAACGAATACATCGGACAGACCAAACGTCAGATTGGTACACGGTTAAAAGAGCACCAAAAAGGAAAATTCAGCTTTATCGGAGCATACATGCCTAACTAACCATACAATTGGGTGGGATAATTCTAAAATTGTCACCACTAATCGGTGTTACCACCAGCGCCTTTGTTTGGAGGCTTGGTATATTAACTCTGCCCACGCTCCTTTAAATCGTGACGATAGCGGTTTGCTTCCTGTCGCCTATTTACACCTCGTCAGAAAAAAAGGCCGCTAATTAGTGATCATATAAAAAGACCTCTTGTTGCAGCGTTTAGATCACCCCTGATGAAGGCACTAGACAGGAGTGTCGAAACGTTGGGTCTATGAATTGTAACTTCTTCAGTTACATTCATTAAATCTGCAAACCAGAGTAGCATCAAACTATGTCTGAGAAAAAGTTTGCTAACTTAAGGTGGGTTGAAATGATATTTCTTGGCGGTATAGCACTGGTTGTGAAAACTTTTTAAACATTATTAGCAACATCATGAAAAAGAACGGTTAGCATTAGCAGTTGCACAACGAGAAATACCTTATTTATTGTTGAAACGTTACAGCTGATGATATCATAAATACTCACCAATAACATAGGTGGTGTATAATGAGGACAACTGCAACTTGGTGAGTTTGAACTGAGGTAACATCTTCATGTCACTCGGTACAAAAGACATGCCATCCTCGCTGTCGATTTCCCACTTGTAAGCAATATTGTTCATATCATAACCATCTTCCGAGATAAAACACAGGGAAATGGTATCTTTTGCTTTAATTAGTAAGTGACCAGTGTAAAACGGTATGTTCAACCCTTGAAATATTTATCAGGGCACTCACTGTTTAAAATTTGATTTTCAAAAGAGGAGAAGGGTAACTCAGGGGATGAGTTTCTAAAGAAACTGTGGTGCTGCGTCGGTGGGAGAGTATAGCGGGTAATTTAGTGTTAACAACTGAGTTGAAAACGTAAATTGGCCACCGTAAAGGGCAAAAAACCTGACGTTTCAGGCGTTAGCCCTTCGTCAGAGCGTCAGAATTACCAAGTAATTCACTTATCAAAGGGTAACTCAGCTTGTTATAAACTTCTTCCTCTGTGCCGTGTTTTAATTAACTCAGTTGCATAAAGTTTGCTCAAGTCATAGTCGCCTGGTAGTTAGTGCGAGTCCTCAGTGGTCAGAACATTGTGAACAGTACTCGCGAAGGACACTTTGTAAAAATTAATGTCGGTCAACCTTTTGGAAAAATTGACGACTTTCGCAGTTGGAACTTTAAGTGGAACAGCGTCCCATCAGGACTCAAATGTTCTCAGATACTAATAAATGATATTCTAAATAGCAACAGATTATTAGCGTAGGAGATAAACAAATACAAAGAGTTAATCTTACAGCTTTCGATTATCAGAGGACAGTGCTGAACATCCATGGGGTAAAGTCTGAGATCCATTGGACAAGAAGCTTTTAAGGTCACTCTGAAAGAATGTAATGATAACAAGCAAAAGAAATGCCTTCCTTCTTCTCTTTCTCCTTTAATTCCGGATGATTTGTTAAGTTTCTCTCGTACAGTTCCCTAAAGAGGCCACTACTAACTATTAATTTCCTTCATTACTTTAATAAAGTGATGCACAATAGCGGATCCTACGTCACTCGAAAGGAATCGCTCAAAAATGCCATTTTTAAAATTGTAAGGATGTGAAACCGTTTTAACAAAATATCCCCAAATCCTGACGATTTTGATGTGCTTTCATTCAGAAGCGCTTCTCTCCAGCTCTGGCTCTTTTGTAATTTTACAAGGCTAAGCTTATTTGAAGGGAATGAAATCTTATCGGATTTAACAGCTATCTTCATCTTAGAGCGAAGAGATATCAAGTTCGTAGCCACGGACACTGGTCACTCATTACCTGGCGTTATAATCCACCAACCCACCCGGGCCAATGGTGATCATCATATTTTGAGTGGTGACGTCATGAAAGCTTGCATCCTTAGCATTTTTAAAGTAGCTATCAGGCAGCCATATGTGGGAGATAACAGTGTTGCTAAGAGACAATGTATCACGGAGACCATGGTCAAGCCTCGGATCTGTCCACCTTTGACGGAGAAAAATGTCTAAACCAAAATCCTGAGGAAATTCAAGAAAAGAACAATTGGATCATTGTGGTCAAGCATGCATCCCGAGTTGATTGATGTAATCTTTTTAAAAAAATCTTAGAATTTAGTTCACACGCAGTATTCCCTCTACCAGAATGTTACTGATTACAGTTGTTCTTCAGGCCATCCAACTGTTCTGGCTACAAACAAGGCAAATAAAAATGGCAAGTTGCCCTACTTACCATGTCCATTACGTTAATTGCGTCAATTGCTACTACCCAGAATCCCACTTTAACAGTCACTGGCTTTTCTACAAACAAGATATTTATCAATGATTATCAGTTAAAGCTGAGTGTTAAGGATATCGAACAAAGAACAGCCTTTTTTGTTGATTAGATCAATTGTCAATTACTTTAATTTGCGTGCCTAGTTACGATCTTAGTTACAATGTTTATCTTTTTCCCTATTGGTTTGAAATCGGATATTTTAGCGTCACCACGCGCATATAAAACCTAAATTAGCGTCCCTATAAGCGAGAGTTTCGTAAGATTTCACCTTGAACAGCAATAACTTCGTCTTTCGTTCCAAACCTTTGGCACAAGCGGGACCGATATGTAAGTGATTTTGTTAGTTTTAATTCAATATGTTTAAGTTTAGTTTTTTACCTTGGGCGATAGCGCACATATGTACTGTGTTGTACAACAGTACAACTAATTATCTTGAAATCGAAGGAGTATTTTGAAATAACTAGTCGCTCGCAAAGTAACGCCCACATTTTAGTCTTTGGGCTGTTGATCAGCCGCAAATGGTCATTGTGTAGCCGATCATTGATTCTCGAGTAGTTTTAATTTAGCCTTTTATGATTTGTTTATGTTAATTCACGTTAATTGTCGTTATTTTAATCGCGTTATCGACATAGGCCCGTAAAGCGTTTCATTCATGCTTTCGTTATAATGTTATTGCAATTTTAATTTACGATCGTGATCGTGACCGTGATCTAAATAAACACCGTTGATAGTCATCTTGGTTTTCGTGGTTTCATTACGACCGGTAAAATAGTCCCCACATCAGCGACACTTAGAAAACACGCATAGCGACACCCCTCGAAGTTTCCTCTTTCGTCGCAAGCGTCACACTGAGTAATAAAACGTTCCAAGTGCATTAAGCCTCTTCACAATGGCCCACTCTCACTTACCTACCACGGTGCCCCCTCCACCTCCCCTCTCCGTCCGCCTCTTAATCCTCAGTGTAATAGTGAGTGAGAGTCCTTAACAATCGTAAAAACTTGGTAACACCGTGTGCTTATTAAAACATATACCAAAACAAAATTAATCAGCATTTATTATGCATTTTGGGAGTAAACCGTCTGTCTCGCAAAGTCCTTGGTGTGAAACACAGGTTGTGTAAACATAGTGTTGCAAAATGAAACAAATAAAAAAATAAGCAAACAAATACAGTCGAACCTCCCTTTGCGACCACCTCTCGTTAGAGACCACTTTTTCAGAATACTTAAAGTTTCCGAGTCAAATCATTAGAAGTAGAACCCAAAGTGAGCGACCACCTCTCGTAAGCGGCCACCTCTCATAAGCGACCAATTGAGATGGTTGTCACTGTTTTCAATTGTTTTAAACCTCATTCGATCATTTGGCTGACCATCGCCTTTATCTCTCACGAGCGGAAACTGAAAATTGTTTCGACAGATGTCGTAAAAAAGGAGCCATCGGAAGTGTTTCCTGAAATAGCTTTACGTCGTGAATTTCTGCATGTGAATTTCTGCATGATAAGCGCTAACGAAGGGGTCCGATCACCATATGCAAATTACCCGAAATATAGACCCCCGGTGGCCCAGACATGGTAGGCGAGCACCACCTAGCGACCATATTTCGAACGGTCAATTAAGGGAGGTTTGACTGTATTAAGATGTCATTACAAAAACTTACCGTTGAAGTAGGGACGGAGTCTGGGATCATAACGAGGACGTTTGAATAGTGAATCCAGTCTCTGTGTCATAGTGAGGTTTGATAGCTGATATTTGCTGTATATTGTTTAGAATAAAGGAACATAATGAAATGATATATAAGTTAAAAGCGGTGTAATTGAGGGGACGGGCGCGTAAATTATTCCACGATAGAAATATTGATTAAGTATTTGGAAAGAAAGGTAAGTTGATTTGTTAATGAAGTTTTGTTTACTAGTTTACGAAAGAACTGCAAGTTTCTATAAATTCGCCACATCGGGTCCCAGAAGAAAGTTACCGTCCAATTTCGTTCTATTTAAAGGCAATTGTACCGTCTATCATTAAAAACACAAAAATGCCCATGCAATTAACCATGAGTTGATTTGTTTCATTCATGACGTTCATGTAGGTTTAAAACTTTTATTTAAACCTATAGTGAAATCTAACTATTTACAATAAGTTTTCAAGTACGCCGTTTTTCTTTCGTTCTCAAAAATTTGGATCGTAAAACGTACTTGTTCACTAATCGTATGATTTTAATTTATTTCGTCATGCTTATTTCAGGTCGCCTCAGCGCTAAAAGGCAGTATAGATAATTTTGAAATGAGTTCAAATCCGATTTATTAATATTTCAAACATGTGGATCAGGTCGTATGAAATTGGTTATATATCATTTCAACTAAGAGAATGAATTTTCGTAATACAAATTCACACAGATGAAACCAACTATTATTGGCATTGCACCCCTTAGAGCAAACACAACATTAATTTCTGCCACAAACCTCAACCATTTCAAAAAAAATCGTGAAGTTACCTTTCCATCGCATCCGAAAACATCATCAGTAAAAATAGTAGACAAAATGTTATGTGGATACCCATGGCGCAACCTTCCAATTCACCTGCTTGATTCTTAATGAAGAGAAACTATCGCTTCTGTTTTAAATGACCTATTTAATGTTCCGCTAAAATCAAGAGTGATAAATAATTCATTGTCGTAGCTTCTCTGCCAAGACAATTGATCACCGTGATAATATCAGCACCTGAAAAGGACTCTTAATCAAGCAATGTACATGTAGTGTAATGATCATCGGAAAGCAATGGGGAACATATTTAAATCAAAGGGGTTTTGAAGAATTTCTGTGTTCACTAGCCAATTAGCGCGTTTTCACATGGATAAACTCGTCGGGAATTTTCTCAAAATCTTTTTCATTGGAAAGATATAGAGAACGCTTTTGGAAAAAATTAATGAGCTTCATTGTAAGGCGAGGTTAGATCTTTTGGTTTGTTTTCATTCCAGTAGGGAAGTTCTAACAATCATGGGGCGATTTAGATTGTAACTTGATTCGATATTTTTTTTCTTTTAATCTTTAAAGGGGAGGGGTCAGGGAGTGAATAAAAGAAAATCTTGAAAAAGAAAAAGACCAAGAAGAAACTATAACTTGAGGATGTTACCATTTTTCGCCTGTGAAACCTTCGAAGCCTTTGGGGAAGTTGAAACAAACGATAGGATATCAAAAGACGTTTCTTGGCAACTTTGATTAAATACCTCTTGTATTTCAGCAGCGCTTCTGAAAGTATTTGCCTCGCGGTGAACAAACGCTGGTTGCCTTGCACTAAAAAAAAAGGCTTAACCTTAAGGGTAGAATGAAAGGTGTCGCTAATATCCTTGGTCAAGTAGTTCGATAGAATCCCTAGTCATATGGTGACCGAGTTCTTATAACGTTATTTATTAGCTTCTCAATCCACCCACACTCTTAGTCTCCCTGCATTTTTCTTGACTTTAATTCTAGTGCTATGTTGCAGCTTGTTTTCCAACAGCCGCTTGTCTCGCTGTACCCTTTCTTAAAAACCAATTCAACAGTTAGTTCCGCCGAGTAATTTGGCGGCTCCAGCGACAAATACCTAATAAGGAGCTAAGGTTAATTGATTATCGGGTATCATGAAAACATCTAGTTGCTAACCAAATATAAATTCATCCTTAGATTAATCTTATGTAAATCTTCATACTCGAAAGAATAACAAAACTAAAGCATTATGTCTTAAAATAAAAACATCTCTAAGAAATAAATGCCAAATCTTTAATTTTTGTAACTTTATTTAAAAAATCCTACACTAAGTGAAAGATTATTTTTTGATTAATTCACTCAGCAGCTATCATGATAGGCTTAAAGAGAGAAGTCCGTGACAAAATAAAAGAAATGTAAACAACTGAATACTACTCCTAAGTGAAAATACTGAACTTTTGCAAGTATTTATGTGCAGACACTTATGTTCTGTAGGTACAAGGCATTTCGATAAAAAACGATTCAGAACCTGAAACTTACATTGGTCGATAATAGCAAATATTAAAGAGGGATCAGTTGAAAGCTTTAAATATTCAGTAACCTCTTACAGTATTCTTAAGTTAAAAGTAACCTCGCGCCCTACGCGAAGTGAGTGATAATTACAGGAGGACTGATTTACGCCAAACCCTCTGAAAGCTTACATTTAGTTGTGGTATCAATGACAAAGATAATTTAAGCAATTATCATTTTTCTTTTTTTTTTTTAATTACGCGCGTAAGAAGCAAAAAGTAGGTAAGAGCCGACGTATAAATAAATCCTGTTATCACTAACAATGAGTGCATGAATTGCTAAATACGCCGAGCAGAACGAATCATTCACAATTCTCCATGGGGAATGGGGAATGGAGAATGAGGAATGGGGAATGGAGAATGAAGAAATGAGAATGAGGAATGGAGAATGAGGAATGAGGAATGGAGAATGAAGAAATGAGAATGAGGAATGGAGAATAAAGAAATGAGAATGAAAAATGGAGAATGAGGAATGGAGGATGAGGAATGGAGAATAAAGAAATGAGAATGAGGAATGGAGAACTAGGAATGGAAATGTTGAATGGATAACGGGGTATGGGAAAATGAAATGGGAAATTGAAAATGGGAAATTAAAAATGGGAAATTAATCTTTTTCTTGAAATTTTATGTTTATTACGCAGAATAGAAATTTGTCCAAATGGTGATCATCGATATACACGCTTTCTTTCAAAATCGTTAAGAGTCAAAATTTAAAGAACGGAATAAATTGATGATAACGAAGGAAATGATACATGACACCTAAAGAATGTTGTAAAAGCAAATTTTACTCGTTTCATGAACAAGTGATAGGTTACATCAATTTTTCTTAGATTAGTTAAAGAGCTATTTGAGTTTATTTGAACTTTATTATATTTATTATCTATTTGAACTTTAATATAGCTATTTGAGTGTTCGACGCAGAAAGTAAAAATAACTTGCTGATCCTTTCAACCTTCGTCAAAAGAGAAATCACAAGGCCAAAACAAGAGTAGCAATTAAAGATGATTGGTGCAAATGTTTTGAAAAACTAGCCATTCTGAAATAAACGCTCTGGTGGTAAATTCGTGATAGGCCTTTAGCTAGCGGTGTGTGCGTTGTAAGTGAAGGAGCGGTACACAAAACATGTTTTAACTTCTAAATGGTAGAAAAATTCCCTGACGACCTCTCTAGCCTCGACAGACGATAGCGACGAAGTCCTCACGGAGGACATGAACCAATAAACTTGCTAGACGAGCTTACAACACTTTGTTTGGACGGTGCGTCAATGGCGGGTTGATTCCATCGCAACATATTGCGATACCCTAGTTTTATGACATGATTAGCACAAAATAATTAAGTTAACTTTTTTCTTTTTTAATGCACGACATAAATAGCGCAACCTAAACAACCAAACTGCCCAAAGCGCCGGAAAAAACGAGCGAGCCGGGTTGCGATTTTTAAATTTCGCGCCATTCCATCCAATTAAAATTAGATGGAATGACGCGAGTTTTCTTATACAATTAAATAGAGTTTAGTCTATTTTGAAGCCGTTTTCAGTCAATATGTTATTTCTAATGCTTGTATCTTCAGCTAGACAAGTATCACAAAAATATCTCGACTTCTCTTCTTTGTTTAAATAAAAGTGTTAAGCTAAAAGTTCATACTACTGTAAACATTAAACGCATTTATCTCGTGCCTCTGAAACACGACGGTTGCTAATTCATCCGATTCCCATTCCCCATATTATCATAGGATTTTTCCTCCATGTTCAGTGGATGTCTCAGGCAGTAATGGCTTGATCACTTCCTCTTCCTCCTTAGCTCGTCTCATATCGCGTTTCAACGAGGACAAAGTCAAGAGAAAGAACACAGAGCTGAGAAGGTATAGACCAGGATAGAGAATGTACAGAGCGGTCCGCAGACTGGTGACTTCCTTCAGAGGTGGGACGAGAAGTGGCACATTACCACCAATGATGCTGATGATGAACAAATAACCTGCTACTGCCGGTGAACGGATGGTGTTTGGTACAAGTTCAACTACAACAGTGAGTGTTACCCCCACCCACATCTCACCAATGATATTTGAGGGAATGAGACTAATGAAGGCCCAGGGAGGCTTTAAGAATAAGGCTCCTGCAGCAAATGGGGCAGCGATTATCTGAAAGAAAAAGATGAAAGAAGTCAAACATTGAAAAGGAGTGAGGAAATATGACATCTCTGAGAGGATGGGGGAGGGGGGAGGGGGGAGGGGTTTCAAGGCTATCGAACGATGGTAGCAGATTGACCCCTGCCCTTAGCTTGTTCACCTTCCCTTTGAATGTTGGAGAAACGGGAGGTTTCATTGTTAGCACAATGCACTCTAGATGTGGGGCCTGGCAGGGTCAATGTGAAGCATTCTTGAATAGGACATTTCACTGTTACCATGACTCTGTCTCTCTCCATTAGGACAAACAAATGGGTACCAGCTAACGGTTGTTGAAATTCAAGAGGGGGCTGGGAGGCTACCATGATGGTCTTTCATCCAATTCTTATTCACTAAAATCCTTCAACTCCCAGAAGTGATTAACATTAACTTCTCCCTCTAATATCCATACATCATCCAGCAAACAGTCCATGAGAATACTCAAACTCACTAGGTAGGAGTTTTCTCATAACCAATTTACAATGAAATGTGTAGCAGTTAAAGAGGAGAATGTTCTATTGGATCTTGAGAGTTAAAGGGTCAGTAATGCCACAGAACCAGGGATAAGGTCTGGTAACCACTAGCTATAAGTTTGCATTCAGATTAAACTCTGTCTCCCCTGTCTTGTTCCTTCATAATCTGTATCCTTCCCACTCACCTGGCTGAATAACAGGACCCAAACTCTGGCATAAAAGCCTCGGTTTTTAATCACACGATCAGAGATGAATCCACCCAGGACTACTCCAAAGCTTCCTCCTACAAGAGGGATCCAGCTCATATATTCTCCCACGTTAGTGTTAGGGTAATACTTATTGAAGTAAGGCTGTGTGTTGTATGCCCAAACATAGCCTCCAGCATTCCTTATAGAGCCAGCAACAAACAAGATGAGCAGGGAGGGACGCATAAATGTTCTGCATAACAGAAGGAACTTCTCTCTGAATAACTCTCGCTGTGGGTGAGTGACAATTGCCTGGAAAGAGTCAAATACATACCAGTCCAACGCATCTCTCAAATAAGCAATTATGCAATATACTTTCTATCTATTCCCATGTATACCTTGCACTTGATGTCTGTTGCTCAGTTAAGTTCAGTTTTCATTCCCCCAAATAGTGGTGTATGATTATCAAGTCTGCCTTATGTGCCAATGTCATGTACCAATAAATTTCATACAGTAAATGGTTTGAACCCGGGGGTAACATGTAATATTGTAGTTTGATTGTCCGGGTGAGTGTAGTCCTGAGAAGGACTGTTGTCGGCATGATGGATGAGGTGGATGAGTCCACGACATTAACATTAACATTACAAATGAACTGAACAGAATGACCTAACTTCACTAACGGATCCAAACCTACCAATCACGACTGACCTACGCCACTGGAGTCTTACAGCCAATAACATCACAGCAAAATTGACCAATCAGTGTACACAAACCGGACTGAGTATATTTGACTAACAGCAACCTTTCACTTGACTCTGATGATGACTTCTGCTCAGGTTGTCAAAAGTCACCACTACTGACAACAGTCCTTCTCAGGACTACACTCACCTGGACAATCACACTACACTATTAAATAAATTTCATCTTTCACTTTAACATTACAATACCTGTGTGTTTGACGTCTCACTTCTTTTAGGCTCCTTCATTGTTAGCAGCATGAGAAATCCAAGCACAAACCCAGGTGCAGCTGCAATCCAGAATACCCACCTCCACCCTTTGCCATCAATATTAGCTTGTGTAATGAAGTTACCAAAGGCATATGCCATGCTGTAACCAATGTAGATTCCCCAGTTATATACACCAAAAGCAGATCCTCGTAATGTCTAAAATATCAATACAGGACATATTAATTCATGTTTGCTTAATTGATTTTATCAAAAATTCAAACTTTTCTAAAGGTCTGTGTCCAAGTGACTTAGGAAACTGGCAAAACAAACAAAAACTTCTTACAAAATATGGCGATGAAGGGAAAGAAAGAATGGCACCGTGAATTGTGTTGCTTATTCCTAAAGAGTAGTGGTACCCCTCACCATGGGACCTTAGATGTGGGCAGGAAGAATACAGGCTGTCAGACTTGTATACATACTAAACAGAAAAATACACTAAGATTTTTACATCATAATAAATGTTTTGATAAGCTATTTGGGACTCATGAGGCAAAGCTGAGTAGGTCCACAACATTTTGACCACTGTGATGATGAACATTGTTGTTGATAAAGTATGGACCACACCAAACCACTATCTGTTTGTGAAATATACCAACCTCAGGAAAATAATCAGCAATCAAACTAGTGGCAAATGGAGTGCATCCAGCCTCACTGTAAAATACAAAAAATTAAGAAACTTGTGGTGTGCATTAAAACAAAAATAAAGGGAAAGTTAAAAGGAGACTATTCAAGACTTTAAATTCAACAAAGTGAACAAGAGCCATTTTTATAGCCATGCAGTATCTAAAAAGGATTGCTCATATGTGTAGAGAAAAAATATAACACCCATGAAAAGGGTCTTATTCACATTGCCGACAGAAAAATTATGCTGAGACATTTGGGCAAGGATCAGTAACCTGTTGGGGATCATGACCCTGTAGGCAAAGAGGAAGAGATACAGTCTACTTTTTCTGTTATTCTACTCACCCAATGCCAAGAATAAATCTTAGCACAACTAAGTGCCAATATTTGGTGGCAAAACCTGTCAGTAATGTCATGGTGCTCCACAGTAAAAGACAGAAAACAATGAGGTTTCTTCTGTGAAAAACTCCTGCACAAAATCCAAGTGGAACCCCACTGATTGTGTACACCAGGATAAAAACTGGACCTGCAAGGATCTGATAGTCACTTCCTGTTCCATCATAATCCCAAGTGCACACATGTTGGGTGGAATTGTGAGGGGTTTTTGATTCACATCTGAAAAACAAATGGCAAATGAAAGTATTTCAGAAAAATTGTGAATGCACCAGAATAGTGTTCCACTGCAGAAAACTTTAACTTGAGTAAACTTTTCATTTATTTGATTTCAAGGGATTTACTTTGTTCTGTTTTCTTATTTGCCAAGAAATTCTTGCAGCACCCTACAAACCAATCAAATACAAAACTGTAACCAATAACATGTCCATTTGAGTTTGTGTTAGCTTTTTCTGATGTTTTCCTTCCCTTGGGTCTGCCATTGTGATTACTTTGACCTTGGCCTTGAGAGACTGAATTAAAAAGCGCTCAAATAGAAAGAAAGGTGTTTGCCTTCTGCTCAACAGACTAAAATTGGAATACCATTTAATAAATATTTTTTTCCATTTCTTAAGGATAGCGTAGACCGTTGCCTGAAAAAAAATTAATGTGCTATTTGAAGCATAACCATTGTAAACTATATATATTTATATAATAAGCTCAGTTATGCATGCATTCTGATTGGTTCTCACTTATGATCTATTGGAGGACAGACGTATAGATGATGTCATCATTAAAACTTTTTTTTTAATTCTTTATTAAAAAAAACAAATAGATTCCAAGTTGCCTTGTGTCTGTTCAGTAATAGATCACAGAGGATGTCAAAATGTGGTAAGAACATCAGTGACATTCTTACCACATTTTGACGTCATCTGTGATCTATTACTGAACAGACGCACGGCAACTTAGAATCTATTTGTTAAATATAAATGAGAAGATTATGAAATGCTCCATTCGGCAAAAATTATATCGTTTTAGCTTCATATAAACGTAATGGACGATGTTTCTGTGAGCGAATCAATCGCATATCAAATCTGACCGCACAAATAAGACTTTGCGCTCTACACTCTTGCCTATATGCATTTTCAAACTAAAATGGGACATGACAGCTCTACTATTCTGAATTACGAAACTCATACATTAAGATTACGTAACTTTATCGGGTGATATTTAAAATGAGAAAAAGAACCATTCTCTGGGTCTCTGGGTCGAGCACTGCTTGTTTCCATCATAATAGGACTCACCACATAGTCACTCATACTCAAAAATTTTCATTAACCTAAAGCTTCTCTGACAGTCTAAGAATGATTCATTCTGAGGAGACTTGCTAACCTATTTCAGATATGGCACGACTCCAACCAAATATTTGAATTAAGAAGATAACTTACGTCGTTTGGTTTCTCTCTGGTTCACCGCTGCCCTTTTCACTTTTCACACAGAAGTCTTTGTATTCCGAGGAAAATGTGGAGTTGTAAGGCAAGCATCCTTTATCACCGAAGTGTATGTCTTGCGCCATAGGTTGTGAAGACACTGCAAGAGTGTATCGATCCAGTTGGTTCAGCAAATAGGTACCGAGGAGAAGAAATAAAACATAAACAGCATAACCATCAGCCTTGAAAACCGATAAGCAACTTCCCGAGGCCATTCTTTCAAGTTGGTTTGAGGTTAGCCGCCGTTGGAGCGAGACAAACCTTCGACAAGCGTGGAAACGGAAATGACTAATACAGAATGTTGGCATGAGAGATATCGTGAGAGTCACGAGGCTACAAACAGGTCAGCGGTCAGGAAAGACGTCATGCCATTTGTTTTCACGTGACGTATATTTTGTAAGTTTTGACAATCAAAAAGCGAAGGATCTCATGAAATATCACTACTTTCGCAAGTTTTTTGCACGATCGGGCTTTCCCTGTCGAAGACTGACCCACTTGCTCGACCTCTGATTTCTTTATGTCACGCGACATAGAAGTTGGCAGCTGAGAAAAATCCATGATCGAAAAACTATCGAAGAATCAAAGTATCACTGTGTCGGCCGATGGACGGTGAGTAGCTGATCTTTTTTTTGCATGGTAGAAAGAGATACTAGATGTCTAAGTTACTCCCAGGTGCCATTATGCTTTTTGGAAAGATACGCATGCCACGGTTGACGCAATATTTTAGCTTATAACTTATCAGCTCATCAATTCACAGACTTCAAGACTTTGGCAGGTCGTCAACTTTAACATTGTCACAAATATTACGAATGCAGGTCGACTTTTTAGCAGGGTATTTTTTCACGATACGTGATAAAATTTGTTGTAAAAATTAGCATTATAGCAACTAGCATTATTCCTAGTAACATTGAGGGCCTGTCAAATCGAATCCCCCGTGAAGCAGGGGAATGACCACTTACAAATATCGAAGGTTCGACATATCCCTGGGTAAGATATGTTTGTACAGTCACATGTTTTAACCCGGAAACACAACATGAATGTTAAACTGAGCGGCACTCAACTGAAAATCAATGATGATTCCAACTGTGAGCTTAGACTAGGGGTTATTGAAATAGCAATCACAAAGCACACAAAGCAGATCACGACTATTTTTATTTAAAAAAAAAATATATTGCAAAAGTTACCCTTGATTCATCTTTCATTCAAATCAATATAAAGTCTAAAATAGGTAATTAATTAAACTCAACTTCGCGTCACGCATATATATACACAGTTGATTGCTTTAAATAAAATTCTGGTATACAACTACCAGTGTTCTTGGTAAACTTATTTCATACAACACCCCATGATAAGCTACCGGAGAAAGCTACCTAATGTTTCATTGTTTAAAATGAGGCTAATTCCTACATACAGACAAACTATACATTATATTCTGACCATATATGAGAGACTGACAAAACATCAAGGAGATACGAAAACAAATGCGTAAGGGAAATAAAATTGACGATGGTTAGGTAAATACCTTTTGGCAGTTCCTCGCCATTAAAAAAAACTATAAATGTTTATAGAATTAATTCTAGCTGCCCGAAGAAAGAGCTCGAGAAAGAGGTTAACATTTTTCTTCGTGAACTACAAAGGTTTTCTAAGATATTCTCGTTACTGCTGCACGTCCCCGAACAATCTTAAGGGCAAACGAGATATACTCAGAATAAAGCGCCGTTCAAAACCTAAGGAATTCGAACAAACAAAAACAAAACGAAAAAAGAGAAAAATAGCCAAAAAACCCCTACACAATTCCGGTAAATTTCACCGAAAGTTCGAAAAATGAGGAAACCTTACAAAGGAAAGCGTCGCCGAGTAAAAAAGAAGTTTACAAAAATCTGCGCGGAATATTTCTGCAAAACTTCGGTAGCAATTTCACGTATGGTGCGCAAAATAAAATATACTTCTACTCTTAGCATATTCTGCAAAACGCCTAAAAAAATTACCTTTGTCCTATTACATTTTGATCCCAATGTGTAGTTTTGGATAGTTGGTTGAAGGTTGTTGGGTAACACAACCACTGAAGGAATTGTTTTCCAAGTGTGGTCGTTATCAACACAAGGAAGGTGGTCAATTGAACCAATTCTTCTTTGAAGCAGAGACCGGAGGGAGCAGAGTGGTCTTCAGCAGATGAACTCAGGGTCGATTACTCTTAACTAATCATCTTGGAGCGACACAAAATTTCATATGAGTCTTTCCGGAGGAGGCGGTTTCAACATGGAATCCAGTTCAACACGCCCAGCCTCTAATTCTTCCTTACTAGGATTGTATGTGCCATTTGAAGTTCTCTTCTTCAGAACAATTACCAATAAAACGAACAACAACATGGCGATAATACAAGCCGCTATACTTCCACCGATTAGTATAGCTTGACTGCCGCCGGACCTTTCGGAGGGATCGGTTGGTTCTTGCGAAATTTCACACCTTGTACCTGTGAAATAATCCCGACAAAGACACGAAAAATTCCCAGCCTGATCAGTGGATTTGCAAGTTGCACCGTTCTTGCACGGACTACTGTTACACGGATGTACATACTGACATGTTTCACCCACCCAACCAGACTCACACTCGCAGCGAAATGAGCCGTCAGTAGAGGTACACGTGCCACCGTTGAGACAAGGATTCGAATCACATTTGTTAATGAGCTCAATGCAATTTTTTCCTGTATAACCTGGGTTACACTCGCACTGAAAAGTGTCCATTAGAGGAGTACAATTTCCATTAATGCATGGGTCGGGATCGCAAAATGTTAACAAGCCACTACAGTTTATATTACCGAATCCTTCAGTACAGTTGCAGAAATACTTTCCTTCTCTGTTCAAATTCACGCAAGTCGCGTTATTTCTACAAGGGTCTGGTGAACAGTAATCTATGACTTTTTCGCAGTTTCGTCCGTAGAACCCGAATGGGCATGAGCAGGAATAATTATTTGGGTTGTAGGATTCGTTACAAGTAGCTCCATTCTGGCATGGTCTGCTGTAACAGGCTCTGAAAATAGAGCAGTTTTCTCCCTTATACTCAGGTGTGCAGTTACACTGATACTTGTTATAAGCCAACCTTTCACACGTGGCATTGTTCTTGCAAGGTTCAGATTCACACAGGTCTATTTTCTTTTCACATCGCTGCCCTTCAAAATCATTAGTGCAGTTGCACTTGTAGCCTGGGAACATACGACTTGTGGAGTTCACATGGCTATCAATGCATGTTCCGTTGTTCATACATGGCTCGTCTTCGCATTCGTGAATATCATTCTGACAAAATGTCCCATTATACCCCTCAGGACAAGAGCAGCTAACAGCTGTTGCGTTATCTGAACAATTACCACCATTTTGGCAAGGGTTATCCAATTCGCATTTCATGCTAAAGTCATACTGACACAGCTCCCCGAAGAATCCTTGTTTACAGACACACTTGTATCCGCCCACCAAGTTAGAGCAGTTATGTGTTCCTGATACGTTACAAGGACCGAGCGGCATCGTAACTTCACATTCATTAATATCTTGCTCACAGAAGGTTCCATTAAAACCAGTCACGCAAGAACAACTATACAAGCCGATTCCGTCGACACAAGTAGAATTGTTAGTGCAGTTATTATTCACACATTCGTCGATGTTCGTTGAACAGTTTTTTCCAGCGTAACCTCTGGGACAAGTACAGTTATAGTCAAGATGAAGATCAGTGCAGTTTGCGCCATTTTCACATGGATCAGGGACGCATTCGTTCGTGGCATTTTCACAAAGCTTTCCTTCAAATCCTTGAGTACACTTGCACTCAAACATATCAAATCCTACGTCACTTACTTGTTTCTGATTGGTTGCCTTGCCAACGTCAGTCAGATTAGAACACGTGCCATTGACGCACGGGGAATGTGCGCATGTCATGTTGGCAGTTAGTGTACAGATACGCCCTGCCCATCCTTCTGGACATGCGCAATTGAACAGGTTCCATTCGTCACTGCACGTGCCCCGCACACAAGGTGCCGGACCACAAACGTCATCACTGTGGCAACCGAACTTCAGTTCTGTCTTGTTAACTTGGAAGTGAGGCTCCAAAGGAGTCACGTGACTAACATTCAAGGTGCTGTTGTAGTAATCAACAAACGGCAGCAGCAGATCACCGATACGCACGTTATCTATGCATCCTTTGAATGCTGACCCACCCACCACAACTGAAGTGTTGTTTAATAAGCTTGTTATTTCATTGATTGAATATTTCGAGGAATCAATTGTGGTGGAGCCATCTACGGTCAAATAACTCTGATTATCAGTCATCTTGAACATGATTTTGTGCCAATGGCCGTCATTTACTTGATTATCTAAAAAGAAGGATACAAAGTTTGATAAATAACCGGAAAGTGGAAAATATGACGGAGGTAAATGCCACTTGTGACCATTTTACAAAAACGACATAAAATTAACTCCTAAAAATTCAATGAAATACCGCATATGAAAATTGTCAGACGACAAAACGACTTTCGAAATATTTTACACGAACTAGACTTGTCGTGTCTTGAACAACGAAAAACACATTTCTACGGAAAGTGCACCTTAAGCTTTTCATTATTTTCACTTTGGGTTTTACCTGGCTACTTCTTGTGAGTCCTTGTGCTGAGCTTATCATTTACATAAACGATGGACATTTCATACAAAGAAAACTGTTCTTTTGTTTCCCGTCGTTGATACTTGACCATCTTGCCGGTATGCAATTAACATATTTATTGAATTCAGTAGAGCCTTATCCTACCTAAGGATATTCCTCCTTTGTCTCCATTCAGAGCAAAACTGATGTTAATTTGTCCATCGTCAAGTGCCATCTTGAAAAATCTGTCGTAGCCTTGACGAATGTGAATCAGCACAGCTGAGGACTCCCTTGTTCGTACTCGTAAAGACACATCCATGCTGACATTAACGCTGGAGACTAAAGTGAATTCTGCACGACTTGCACTGCCATTGAAAGTAAAGGGATGTACACCTAACACAGAGATAAATAACTTAGCAAAGCATGTGAAGTAAATTAAAAAATTCACGTGTACAATTCCATTCCACGATCGCGTTTACTAACAGTAACAAAAGTAATCGTTTCAGCAACAAGAAATATTCACAGAGCAAAACAATTTGACTCTCGCGGACAGCCCTGTGGTCACACATACATGGACCGCGATGGTGACGTCAAGAACAGGCGATCCAACTTAAAGTGGGCATACAAGCGACCTACACGGGAAATCATTGAAAGCTGATTAAAAAGACAGCTGTTATAAAATGTAACGTTTACTACGGGACATTTCAGCACAACATGTTCATACGAAAACTTTACCTCGTGAATATAGTTTATTATTTCATAAGCGCTTACATTCATAATTTTCTCCGATATCCAAGCAGGTGGTGTTGTGAGGGCACAGGTTAACCAAGGAGCAACCGTACAGTGCACAGTCCGGGCCACCGTAGCGAGGTTTACACTCACACTGATATTTGTTCCACAAGTCTTTACAATAGCCTCCATCACCACAAGGTAATGATCGACACACATTCATTCCCTTACAGCCTTCACCCAGACCACTTGAAGCAAGTAACGTGTAACGATCCGTGGATATTAACGACGCGTCATTAAACCCGAAGTCAAACAGTTTTTTGTTCAGTTGAATGTCCTGCAAACAGCCTCGAAATGGAGTTCGAATGATGTCAGCTTCTGGGTAAAGAGAGAAGTCATCAAGTCCTCCAAGGTAGGTCGAAGTCAATGTGATATCTTTGTTAACAATGGGTCCCGTGACCATAGTGAGGTTGTCAAAGCGTGACATGTTGTTTCGGATTTCAACAAAGTGCCAATGTCCATCACTAACCCTTCCATTTATGGTATTATTGGAGGTGTGTCCATTTGAAGTGGTTTGTACAAACAACATTCCTTGGTCAATCACAACACTAATGTGATGATCCTGATTGTCTGTCATCAGTATTATTAATCCTCTCAGTTCTCGAGTTCGGATGAAGAATGACAACTCTGCAGCTGAGTCAAAACGGGTGCCATCAGTGAGGAATTTAGCAAAGGAAACGTTGTGCATACTGTCAGCATTACGTCGGCGTCTGCTGCTACCTGTGTTCAACGGCTCTGTTGCACCAAACGTTCCCGGTGTTACCGCTAAAAAAGAAAAAGAGAGGAAAAGGTTTTAACAAATTGCAAAAACTTTTCCGATGATCGATCTAAAAAACCCGTTGTCTCCATCTTTCTGGAGAGCAAAGAAAATTATTCGTGATAATCGGTGTATAAGTGTTATACAGCGTAAAATCGCAGTTCACACTCGGAGGGAAGCGAAATAAAGTTAGAAAGGTCAGAAAGTTATCCTTGATGTTAGATAACGGCTTTCTGTCCAACTTAGTTTTATTTTGTGGAATGTTAAAATACGAGAATCGCTTCCACTTCAAAGTAAAATACATGTAATAAAATTTTCCAAGAAATAAGTGCCTCCCACAAAATTCCGGTAAAAACCAATTGTTGTGTTTACCATGTGACTTTAGTTTGAGCAACATTAATATATCTTAAAGGCGCCAACTTCAATTTTTGGCTGCCAGCTGTGTTAATATTTTCAATCTTAACTACATTGGTTGTGAATAAATGAAAGTCATACATTTGAACTGCGGTTAAAGACATGAATATGAGAGTGATCTTCGCAGTTATGAACACTACTTAAGTAATAGTGAAAAGAAGGCCTGAAAAAATTCAGGCCTGTACGGGATTTGAACCTCTGACCTCTGCGATACCAGTGCAGTGCTCTACCAACTGAGCTAACAAGCCAACTGGGAGCAGGTCACTGTTTTGGTTCCAAATAAACCCGTGAAGTGGTGAATAAACGGTTGTGAACATATGGAAGTCATGTATTTGAACTGCGGTATCGCAGTGGTCATGGGTTCAAATCTCGTACAGGCCTGAATTTTTTCAGGCCTTCTTTTCACTACTACTTATGTAGTGTTCATTACTGCGAAGATCGCTTTCATATTCACGTCTTAACTACATTCGTAACTTTTAGACTAATTCTTCCCATTTATTTCGTGTCTCAGTAAAATTTCATTAATCTTTTGTGGTACTGATCGAGACCTAGTTAGCTAAAAAAATCATAGTTAAACTCACTAGTATTGCAGCGCGAGCCGATCCAAGGTCGTGTGCAATCACAGCTGAATTTGATCCATTCGTCAATACATTGGCCATTTGCACAGGGGTTGGATAAACACACCTCTTCTCGTGGACACCCAGTAACAGTGTTATGTAATTCCACTACTGCACTTGTGGGGATCACTGTCTCCATATCAATCGTTACATCTTGAATACAACCAGTGAAATTATACAGCGTGTTGTGAAGATAGTTAACAGGAGATGAAGATCCACCTATGTAGAGTTTTGAAACGTCAGCCTGTGCTTGTAGAGGTGAAGACGTCTGGCAAAGCTCGCCACAAGATGAGTTATCCACAATGAGAATTATGGAGTCTGCAGATATGTTGATAAAAACAGTGTGCCAGAGTCCATTGCTGAGAGAAGCCTTTTTGCCAGCTGAGAGTTTATTCATGTTATTGTACAATACGTGTACTTCATTTTTATCAAGAAAAACAAGAAAATTGCTTCCTGAATCAGTGCCTAATAAGCCGTGATTCAGAGTTGTTCTAAACTGAAAAGAGAGTTCAAACATTTGTTTTCCGACGTGGAAATCCATGAACGAGGAGCCATTTAATCCAACTGTGGTTATATTTTCACAATGTACACCTCCGAAGCCAGCTGCGCAAGTACAAGTGAAGTTGTTGTTTTGTAAATCACAGGTGCCATTATTCTTGCACGGATTAGGAATGCAAGAAGATAACTCAAGCTCACAGTATTTCCCCGTGAAGTTGGCTGTGCAAGTGCAGTTGACATCAGCTATGGCGTCGATACATGTTGCATTGTTCTGGCATGGATTAGACTCGCATTCATCAATGTTGTTGGAGCAATTTTTACCTGTGTGCCAAGAGATCAAAGATTTCAGAAAAGAATGTAGTCTTTCTGCGAATCGGCTGCCATCAATGCTTAAGTGGGCTGCTAACCAGGGCCCAGTTTTATAAAGTACGGATACTGCTATCCAATGGATAAATCGTTATCCAGCGGGTAAGTAATGGCAAATCGTATAGCGTTGTCCACTGGATAGAGATTTATCCTGTGGATAGTGTTGTCCGACCTTGGAACAACCGGGGCCAGGTGTACAAGACTCAGCGGGCGGTAAATTTTCAAAAAGAAGAAATTATCGGCGATTTAGGACATGGCGAGAATACAGAATACACATCGGCTAAGTGGTATTTAGGCCGAAAGAAATACTCCGTTCTTGGCTTACACGTGTGGTTTGGGTAAGATGTTAAAGGCTGTCAGTCCTTGGAACACTTTTATGTTAATGTGCCATTTGATGCCACAAAACCATACACATTATACGAAACGAATTTTCCAGGAAACCTTTTCTTCTAAGGTTAAGAAAACACTAATCGAACGAACTTTATAACAATTTCATTAACAGTAGCCCTGTTGGTACATTTTGCTATATACTTCGTCTCGGTCCATAAAACGCAAAAAAAGAGAGCAAGAAAGTTAAAAATATATATTCACTCTAACAAAACAAACAAGTTTGTCGAAAAAAGACGCAAATCAAGAGAAAATGAAGAACAGAGAGGAACAATTGGGAATAGACGTATTGATTTCATTGATCAATCTTTCGTCCGCACGGACAGCTTGGCTTTCTTACGAACGTCTCAGGAAACTAACTTCCGTTTGGGAGGACTATCTATAAATAACTAGTGAAATTGACATATCTAAAGAGCCCAACGGGGAACTTCACTCTCTGTCCCTTCATAATCTCTTGCGTATTCATGTATATTACCGTCATATCCTGGCTGACATGCACAGGTGAAGCCATTTATTAGATCTGTACAGTTTCCACCATTTTCACATGGGTCTGGTAGGCAGTCATTAATATTTGTGGAACAGTTGTGGTCTGTGAAGCCAGGTAAGCATGCACATGCGTAGTTACCTAAAGTATTATTACATGTTGCATTATTCTGACAGTATCCAAGCTGACACTCATCAATGTCCACATCGCAGTTTCGTCCAGTCCAGCCGGACACACAGGTACAACTGTACTCGTTAACTTCCTTTCCATCGGTGCAATTTGCCTGATTTTGACAAGGTGCATATTGCAGACAGTAATCCACATTATCCTGGCAGTTTGCACCTGGAATAACAACAACAAAGATATTCTTCAAACTAAATTAAGCAATGACGTAATCAAGGGGGTGTATGCTTACCGTAATGATACGACTTAGCGCATTCCTTCCAATAAACGCCCCCTCTCTAAAAAGCGCCCCCATTCTCGAATTTGTTTTTGTTATAAGCGCCCCTGTTGAGTAAGCACCCTCATTCCAATGAGCGCTCCATACCAATAAGCGTCCTTTTTCCAATAAACGCCAATACTCTGTTTCAAACATACTTACAATAAGCTCTGATACAACAACTCCTTGGAGAGGGGGTTCCATCAGATGTGCAGAACATTATTTCCAGAAATAATAACATAAGTTCCTTTCCACAGCAACAGACACATTTTACACGTCCTCTGGTATCTTTTTACTGTACTTTTGGGCGTGGAATTTTAGTGTTTACAGTATATTTCCAAATTGCTCTTTACATTAACAAAATCTTCCCTAAAAGGCTTTTGATCAAAGAAATAAAGAGACCTGGATTAAAATTTAACCCTGGGTTAGTGCTAATCGGCCTTCGAACAACTGAGCCCTGATCTAAAGAATCTAAAGCATACTACAATACCTGTAAAACCGGGGGTACAGTAGCATTCAGCTCCTTTCTTGCGGTTATCACAAGTTTCTTTGGTGATGTTGATGTTTTGACAAATACCTTGACGTTTATCCACACTGCACTGACTTTTATTAGCACATTCATCGATGTCAGTCTCACAGTACCGGCCTGTAGTCCATGGATCACAGTCACAACGGAATGCTCCAAGAAGATCAGTGCAACTCCCACAGTTACATGAAACACCTGACAAAATATGTCACACTCAGAGACTGTACACAGCAGATACAGGTGTATGAACTATTACGAAATACCAAGACACCAAGTATGATGTATGAAATTTCAGCTCAAAATGCAGCAAGAGATGCAGTCGCCTTGCTTTTTTCCCCTAGTTAGATTTGATTATAATATTCATGTCCATCGTGGCCATGGTCATTTAATCTATATGTTCTCAGAATTGAAACTTACCTTCACACTCATTGATTTCATTCTCACAGTAGGTACCATTGAATCCAGGAAAGCACTCACATCGGAAACTGCTGTTATCACTTTTACAAGTTCCACTGTTACAGTTAACGGACCAGCAGTGGTCGTTAAGATCGTTCTCACACTGACTGCCATTAAATCCTGCATGGAAATGAAATAGAAGATTTATTGTGATCAGATGAATTAAGTGAGTTTTAGATTGCGTAAAATTTTTTAAATTCATCATGAAAGTATGGATATTGGTCCACAAAGAGAAGAACACATCAAATATTGAGTTGATTCCTCTAAGCAATGTAATGTCAATAATATGCAAGAGGTGTTACCTAGTACTTAAATCACCTTTCAATAAAAACGATTAGCCCTATCATGTGAAGTTTTGAGCAGCCAGTTTAACACAACATCCTTCTCTCTTAATTGCTATTGTGTAATGGTTGAAGAGGGTCATGCTAATGTAAGCTATTGTGCAATATAAATTTTGCATGCATACAGTAATTCTATTGTCCAAAAAACTTCCTGGTTGAGCTGATTACAGCCTTTACCTGTGTGTTTCTAGTGGTGAGATTCTTGAATGTGTTATTTTGATTTCTGCTTTTCATTTGTATTGCTGTGCACAAATTTAAAATTATAACTTGCATCTGCACCTGGCTTAAAAACAACTTATAAAATGTTATATGTGACCAACCCTTTACTAACTGTGCACAGACTCACCAGGTTTACAAACACAAGTGTAATTATTGACACCATCATCACATATTGAGTTGTTGTTACAGTTGTGATTCAAACAGTCATCAATGTTAATCTCACACAGGGTTCCAGTAAATCCATCCATACATTTGCATCTGTAGCTGTTTACTTCATCAATACAAGTTCCTTTAATGAAAATAAAAACTTGACAAGGTTAGTGAGAGGACATATTGCCAGACAATAGGCCATTTTACAGCTGTGCTAAGTTGCCAAGCCTTTGATTTGGAGTGAGGCTGAAGGTGACCATGTTGTGATAAAGACCAACATCTAGTTAGCATGATAACAAAATAATTTGCATTTGAAAAGCAGCAACATTTGTATCATTAAAAGGTCATCTTTAGCCTCACTTCCATTCAAAGGCTTGGCAACCAAGCAGGCAACTGTAAAATGGACTATTAAGGGATTTTAGTGTTACAGATGTTGGCTAAAGGTTGCCATTACAAACCCTCAATCTTCATTCTCCGATGGTTATCCATTAAATATGGAACATGTAAGGCAACATCAGTCTGAGTACATGGCAACTAATTCAAAACTTATTACCATCAGAATTACATACTAAAGAATAAGTCTTAAAGTCAAACCAAAAATGAGGTACTATCACTCTATGTATCACAATGGAATCACTTCCAAAGTGCAAGACTAACTCATGGGCCCAATGATTATACTTCAGTAATAAATCTGTTGACCACGATAAATGACCATGTAACCTTTTTTACGATGAAATAATAATTTTTCTTAAATGGTGACTACAATAACAGATTTTTATCAAAGACATTAGTTTCAATTTGAAATACTAAACAAATACAGTAAATTGCAGTTTTTTAGAACACTCATAACACCACAACAGACATTACATAATATAATTTGACAATAACACTCTAAAATTATACAACTACATGTAGCACTGAATATGAGAGTCACCTACCTCCATTTTGGCAGGGATCACTACGACAGTCATTTAAATCTTCATAACAATTCTTGCCATTAAATCCTTGCTTACAAACACATTGATAAAATCCATCATGATTAATGCACTGGGCAGTATTAATAGGATGACAGGGTTTGTTCGTAGAATTACATTCATTAATGTCTTCCTGACATGATGGCCCAGTGAAGCCAGACCCAGTGCAGTTACAAGTGTAGTTGTTGATTCCATCAATACATGTACCAGCATGACCACAAGGGAATGCTGCACAATCATTTATATTTTCCTGACACTGCTTTCCTTTAAAACCTTTATGAAAAAATAATGTATAATCATTCAAGGGGCCAAGCATTGCTGTTTACTGTTTGGGAGATTAGTTTAAGAAAAAAGAGTGCTTGAGGTCATAATTGCAGATCACAGCCAAAGCCAAAGGCAAAGGGCTGTACTCAAGGTCATGGCAAAGGCACAGTTTTTATCCCCCCCAGACTAACCTAGACTAATAAATAATGTGTTTGTTTCTTTCTGTTGGTTTGTCATTTTCCACCTCGCCATGAATGGTACAGAAAAGATACTGGAGCCTGACTGTATGGTAAAATACTAGACAGGTTACTAGTGCAGAATTAGCCAATTGGATTCAAAGATTTAAGAACTCGGCCAACTGAGATGCTTCAGAATATAATCACTGTGTATATTGTTCAATAAATGCTTTGATCCCAGAAGTTACATTGGATCATATGATCTGATCATCTGAGCGATAGCAGTCCTGAAAAAGACTGAACAATCACTGCTACCATTTAATGATCCTTTTCTCTGTGACTATGCTAACCCAGAAGATTAGACCACATGATCAATTGTGTAAATTCTATTTCAAAATAAAAAAATAATTTAATGAACTTACCTGATGGACAATCACATTTGAAGTCATCTGCACTAAGCTTGGAGCATGTCCCTCCTTGCTTGCATGGATAACTTTTACAAGGATCAAATTCATTCTCACAGTTGCGTCCAGTGTAGCCAGGCTTACATGTGCATGTGTAGTTGTTTTTGTCTGAAGTATCGCGACAAACACCTCCATTCTTACACACATCAGTGTTGTTGTTGTTAGTCTTATTACACAGGGATCCCAGGAAGATGTCACATAATTGGCCTGTCCACCTTGGTCCACAACTACAGCTGAAGTTATTGACAAGGTCAACACATGTGCTGTAGTGATGACACTTGGCACTTGCACAGTCATCAATGTTTAGTTCACAATAGTATCCAGTAAAACCAGCTGGACAAACTAAAAGTCAAAATAAACATATAAACAATTAATTCCTTTCTTTGATTTATCACCATAGGATTGAAAATGTCTGAACACAAGCACAATGGGCTCATCTTGCTACAACTTGTATTGGTTTCTGTTGCAGTAAGTGACCAGGAATATTGCTGCTCCCACTGAATGACCTGCCACCTGGCCCATGGAAAATAATTACTCCAACTGGATTTGGTCAGGTTTTCCCTAGCTTGGACTCAGACCTTTTCCCCCCTTGAGACATAATCACTTAGTATTTAACAAGTACACAAAATGATAAAAAAGAGAAAACTGACATGCCAGCTATCTGTTATATAAACTCCACATACTTCTATGTACACTCCAGTGCTCACAATGTTAAAATCTAGACTTCACTTCACTTCACATGCAGGGTGTATTAAAGCCACATGAAAACCATTAGGAAATTATTTGAACAATTTTATCCCTTTCACAGCATCTTTTCACAATTCTTTTTAATTTAGTTCTTTCAGCCTATGCACATAAAAAACTTGCACTGACTCACACTTGCAGTTGAGAATCTGGATAGTGATTTGTGACTGAAAAGGCCCTGAAATTTAAAATCAGGCCTGCTGTAGATACCCTGAGTGAATACCAATTTCATAATAATAAGATTAGGTGGATGGGTAAAATTCATAATATGAAATCAAACCAACCTTTGGCTGGACATCCAGATTGGCCCAGTGGGCAGTTTGCATTGACATTCACAGAGATACTATCTGGCAGTGGAATATTTTGTCCACTTGTTATACATCCAACAAAACCTTCACCTCCAGATATATGGTTCCCAGCATAAAGGGGACCTGAACTTACAAATTCTAAAATAGTGTTTGGCATTTGGACAAACTGGGTCGTTAAACCACTCAGGGTGAGAGTTGAATTTACTTGTCCACTGCCAGGAGTGAACTGTACTTGATGAAGAATATTTTTATCCAGGTCTTTCCCTATGGTAACAGACTCTTCAGTACCATTAACTTTCCATGTCATTCTAAGGTGGCTTGGAATAAATAAAACAGGTGTCCTAGTGTAATTCACAGTGGTGCGCACCACTTCAATACGCACAAAACCATTACTTGACCCCTTTTGATCAAGTAACACTCCACCACTGCAAGTTCTAAAACTGAAATCAAAGCCATTTTTGAGTGGAATACTTGCTGATGACACTTGCATTGATGAGGTGGCATTGAAAAAGAATGTGCTACTTCTTGTGCAAGGTGATAAGTGAAGAAGTAGAACTCCTGCAAAATAAAGAAAAAAAGGATTTCTGTAGAACTGCCACTACACAACTGAAATTTAAGGGGATTATGTTGTTGCTATCAAATAGAGACATTCACTTGTTATGTGTACTTTACTTTTGAATCAATTACATTAATTGGAATACTACATTTGTGATCTAGTCATTCTTTTTTTAATGCACTATGTTCTTAATTAGTTGTTAACTTATGCATAATTTGTGTGTCTTTTGAATCCCAAGCACCACAACTGTACGTGTTTCTTATAAAATATTACTTCAAACTTCTGTATATGAATTGATGCAAGCTTGGGGCTCAAATAGACACTTACAAGAGTCTCTGAACATAGGATTTGGTTGAGCCTCTGCCAATCAAACTATTTGCCAGATATGGGAAGGAAAACATGTCAAAAGCCCTTATAGTAGACTGTCTCTTAATCCATTTATACTAATGTCTCCGTAACAAACCACAAAACTGAGTTCAAGTTGATAGCAAAGTTCCTTATTTATAAGTTTTTTCCTTGGCAATTGCCCTCCCTATCACAAAACTGGAGGTCAGTACTTTGGCAAGAGGACTTTCTTTAGGAAAACTTGTAACATTTTTTCACCAACACCGCAGAGGTTGATTTTCATGGAAATCTTACTTGATTAACGGCAGCTTTGTTTACTATCAGTTTTTCTTACATTTACGTCTACTCAACACAATTCAATTCCTTCTCTAATTCAAATCCCAAACAATCTCTGGATTTCAAAAAACTCGAGACACAAAACTTAAAATATGTTCAGTCCTCAAAAGGAAAAAACTTAAGCAATTTTTGTTGTGCACTCGCGTTTTGACAGATCTGTAGTCTAAATAATAACATGCACGCTTTCCTTTGTAGCCTACGAAGTGTCGACAGCTCACGAGATATTGCTGTATGACAAGCTTCGAATGTAAAAGCAATACCGAAATTTGCGCGTTATATTCAAATAAGAGCTTTCTGATGGACGTATTTTTCCATCCACTTACAGACAAAATTTAAAATGAAGAATTTATGCGCCGTCACTCATTTCAAATGAAGATCCAAGCGTGAAATTATGTCAACGATCGCCGACATACTGCAACATGCAGCTACTTCTCTTTTTTTCAGTTACGGCGATTTCAAACCAAAAAAATACTGCCAAAAAAAAGACGAAATAGCCGCGACAAAGAATTCGTGATTGATTATTTAGATTTGCACTTGACGACAAAAGTGGTATTTTATAGTAGCATCTCGCACGAGTATTGAAACGGACTCTCGTTTTGTTTAATAATTTTCAAGAAGCGTATTTTAATTCATCGAATTTAATGAATAGGGCGGGAAATATTTATGAGAGCAAAACAGTTCGTTACTTAAAAATACTACTTCGAGCGAACAGAGAAGAAAGAAAATCAGCTTGTATGAAAACTTCACGCAAGTTTCCGTAAAGTGACGGGCACCCACAGAGGAAACCATGTAAATGTCGTAAACTAAACAAAAACGATCGCTCACCTTGTATAAAGAGGCGAAATAAAATCTTTGTTGTCATTACTGCTCAGTGCGCACTGTTAAAATAGATGTTCCAGATGCTGAATAGTGCATACACCGGTTGCTGTAATCACTTTTCGTCGCCATGTTGAATCGTTTCGCTATAGTTAGGCTTGATATGTTCGTAAGCTATCCAGCGAACGCCAGACACTTGAAATCTGACTGAGAGAATATGGCATTTGATCATAGGCACTGGTGCTCATCTTTTTATCATTCAAGTTCTCGCATTTCCCTCTGCTATCTTGTTTACAACCTGTTAAGGAGAATTATTTTCTCTTAATGGTCTGTTGATGTGATATAAGAAATCCTTGTGTGGCAAAATTTTGTAGAGCACGTTTTCCTTTGGAACTTAAAGTGATTAAAATATTAATTCTTATCTCAATATAGGAATGGTAAATATTCGGTCTGATATGGTCTACCAAACGTCATTCTGTTTGAAGAACAAACAGGACAGTCAAAACTGACAGAAACTAGTTTAAAAGATGAATTTTGTCAAAGACGGAGAATTAGGGATGTTAGAATTCTGTGAAACTTTTAATAAGGATAATTCTAAGAAAAGTTAAAACATTTGGATTCCCCATTTAAATGTCGTTGTCAGGAAGTGAAGAAATCATCATTTCCCGAAAAGAGAGAGAGGAATTTTTCAAGCAAAGAATTTATTTTACAAGTCAGAATAATTGCGGTAACACCCACTTAGTGAAAGTTGTCGATTTCCGGTCACGCACTCAATCCAGCAGTCCTGTCCAAGTTCATCATCTTTACAAAGCTAACGTGACTACTGGTTCTGCTGTCCAGTGTACATAGCGTATAGGGGTTTATAGAAGCACATGGGCACAGAAATAGACTGAAAATTGCGAATCAAAGGCGAGCGGTTCATAAGCCTATTTGGAGAGGTCTATCGAAACCCCAAGTACAGTTACGTAACTTGCTGAACCGATCACGGAAAAGCTTTTAAATGTTCATTTGTTAGTTTTTAACTCGTGAATTGCGCGCATGCGCAAGAGCGAGTTGTAGATACGATGTGGGGAATGGCACTCGCTCGCTCGATTGATCGATTCCTGTAAACTTTTTTTCGATTTTAGGCGTTTGGGTGCATTTGATAGTTTTTGGCGAGCAATAAAAAACGAAATAGCGACCTTTGTTGCTAAGAATAGGGGTGGGGTGACAAAGAAGCCAATGATAATCTTAAAATAATTTTTTTTTTCGTTTTAGTTTCAACAAGCGGCGCAAGGATTCAAACTGAAATAACAGAACAACCTTCGTTTTTCATAAAATTGTAATTAACAATCCTTGAACTTGAAAACAATCCGAAGATTCATTGAAAATATCACGAAGCGCTCGGAGTTTACAGGTGTTCAAAAGCTTTTTCTGTTACGGCGTGAGATTGAGGACAAAATCGATCATTACGTTTCGTATCGTGTGTTTTTCCTGTGAGAAACAACAGAAGATGCCGGCGACTAACGAAATTACAAGTTAACACAAATCAAATAACATCTAAACAAACAATTTTAGCTACCGATTTTCAGTGAATTTTTAAAGAATAATTTTCTTTTAAGTTTCAAGACAATTTGGAGATTCAAAATACATATTACGTACTAAAATGCGAAAGTTATACACCACAAAATTGATAAATAGGCCTGAAATGAAATTCTATCTTGTTTTATATAATAAGCTCAGTTATGCACGCATTCTGATTGGTTCTCACTTATGATCTATTGGAGGACAGACGTATAGATGACGTCATCATTAAAACTTTTTTTTCCGTATATTTTAATTCTTTATTATATAAAACAAATAGATTCCAAGTTGCCGTGCGTCTGTTCAGTAATAGATCACAGAGGACGTCAAAATGTGGTAAGAGCAAAAAAGTGGCACACGAGGCGCAGCTGAGTGTCACTGAAGAACATCAGTGACACACTCGGCTGCGCCTCGTGTGCCACTTTTTTGCTCTTACCACATTTTGATGTCATCTGTGATCTATTACTGAACAGACGCACGGCAACTTGGAATCTATTTGTTAAATTGAGTATACGTTGCCTAGCACGTGACTAAAATCTACCCAGGCGGAGATCAAAAATGACGGTGGCAGTCTTGTTTTGGTTATATCACTTAAAACTCCTTCCCGTTTGTCTCATTTGATAAAGAAGGAATCGTTAATGTTTTCATTAAGAAAGTATTGCCTTGATTTTCTAATATTTCCAATGATAGACAGTAAATTTCACTTTTCACGCACGTTTACTTCCGACCTTTTCTTTTGAACCAGAAACAGAAATGATATACGTTTAAAACACATGACATCATCCACCCTTGTCAAATGCAATAGCATGATGATTTCAATTGTAATGCCTTCTTATCCCGACGTTACTTTGTTTCTTTGCTACATTAGCGAACACTGAACTACTGCTCGTACTCTAGATATGACAATCAACCACAAAATTCCCTAAACCTGATAAAATTAAACATAATCCAAAAAATCATGTGTCAATTCACGAGTTTGCTCACAGAGCACTTTGATTGTTTTCAGTGCCTCTTTAGGATAACCAATTTCTGACCAATCAGAGCACTACTGTGCAAGCAGGCCCTCGTTTTAATGAGGCGCGGCGAGTCAGACTTTTATTAATAGAGACCTTAAGATTGAGGTTTTTCGGCATTTCCCGCGAACCGCGAACGTCAAGAAGTCACGTGACCAGAGCCTTGCCGTCAGGTTTGCGGTTTGAGGTTCACGTTTGTACGTCAAGACCACGCTCTAGAGGTAAGTGATTTACCGCAAGTTTTTTTGCACCCTAAAACATCACAATCCCACGTTTGAGAGGAAATACTACTGTTTAGAACTATTTCGCTTATTAATTATCGAATTCTTTTTATAGAAACGTGATTTTGAAGACGATTTCTCAGCTAAAATAGAAGTGAACAAACGAATGAAAACAAACATGGCAGCCGGCTATTTGTTGTTGGAACTGATTTGCCAGTCGGATTACTTTATGGTTAAACTACGATAAACAAATTACAACAAAAGCAGATTTCTGATGATATGTAAATGCATTCTTTGTTTCCTAGATGGCTCCGTTCAGATGGCCAAGCCTTAAAAATGACATTGCCCTGGCTAAAGAAGTTGCTTCCAGAAAGCCACAAACGCATCAGGAATGGGATGAATTAGCAACTATTCTCAGTGAAGTCTTTAGTTCCGACAGCAACAGATTTGAACTAAAGGGGCGCGGATGCCGAGAAAGATTGACAAGGCATAATTCACCAGTGCTATCACACGCGGATCTTAAGTCCCAAATATGGGCAGACGTCTAACGTGAAACCGCTAACTGCAAACCGCGGTTTAGCGTTTGCGGTAAGGCCAAACCTCGATCTTAAGGTCTCTAATGCCAGACGCGGACAAACCTACCCTCGACTGTCTCAAATCAATGGCTACAATTGAAGCCAGCGCTGTAAATGACGGATTTGGAAATTAAATTTATTTTTCTCTGACGAAGACGAAATTATTTTGCTTGTTTGTTTTCTCTCATATCGGCTGTTCTCAACTTCTCAATTATGAAAAAATTGAGTGAAGTTTTTGCGCTTGCAAAAATTTTCTTTTGCAATATTATTCATCCCTGCTGTCTCCGAAAACAAATGTTTTGGTGAAATTCAAAATGGAATCATGGAAATTTTTGGGTTACGTGGTGGATTAGGAGAGAGCGAGAGCCCAAACAATAAGCCATAATTAAGGCTCTAACGTGTTCATTGTTAAAATGGAAGAATGCTTTTGATTCTGGGATGATTATCATCAAAGCCTTTTCTATTTTCTTTCTCACGCCTTTACAGAGCATGGCTGCATGATATATCAAATCTCCGGGGAACCATACAGTATAACAAAACAAGCAACAACTGCAAGCCAGGGCAGCACGAAACAGTGAAATATTGCGCTTCTAGTGGCAAGTGAAACACCCAGATGTTGAGATTAAAACTGAACTCTACCAGCGAAGATTCCTCGTCGATTCCTTTGACAAGCGAATACCCATTAGCTGTGAGAAGTTTTGAAGAAGTGATCTTTGAAATTATCATTGGTTGTGTTTTGTGTCTGCTTGGCGTAACAGGGAACGGCTTAGTTTGTTATGTCATACACCGGAGCCGCTACACAAAATCTTCGATGTATTTCTTCATGGCACAACTTGCTGTTGCAGACATCCTTGTCTCATCGATCTCAATACCTCTGACTTTGGTCTCTACGTATCCGAGACCGCTTCTTCTGCTTCAAGGCGATATTCCCTGCAAAATGGTCCGTTTCCTGCAGTACCTTCTTCCGCCTGCATCTGTAAACATCCTAACTGCCACTGCAGTCGATAGATTCCTCCTTATTTGTTACCCACTGAAGTTTTTGTACCGAACGAAAGTCAAATTCCTCGCAATTTTCTGCTGGGTGTCCGCTGTAATTACTGCAATGCCAGTGCTGTATCTGGTAAATTCTCGTCCCGTTACGCTGAACAATGAGGTTTACAAGTTCTGTGCCATAAAGGAAACATCCTCATTTGCCAAACTTGGTTCAACTTATTTAACAGTTCGAGGAATTTTGGCATTTCTTTTTCCTCTTTTGATAATCGTACTACTTTATTACAACATTTTAAAAACAGTATGGAGGAAAAACACCATCAAGAGCCGAAAGCGACGAAATGTGATCAAGAGTTTGGGTTTGGTTGTTTGCGCGTTCTTTGTGAGTTGGGCTCCATTTTCAGTCATATCAAAATATTCGATCCTCGTAGAAAAGCGATACGACACAATTTCCAGAGCTGAATTAATAACATTTTGGATTGGTCTGTCAGCATCTGCGTACAACCCTGTTATCTACGCATTTTACAACAAAAATTTTCGAGACGCTTTTCGCGACGTTTTTCTTCGTAGAAAAGAGAGGAGAAAAACTCCAGTTACCTTTAACCCTAATGTGAAAGCTATGAAAGAAGTTGTGGAAGGTACGATTCCTGACTTGAAATCTGGTGCACCTATATTGCTTAAACACACAAGGGTTGCTTAATAACTTCAAAAAATTCGAAACCAATGAAAAGCTGAAGTTTATTTCCCTTTTGAGAAGTATAACTCACGTTTGAAAAGTTGTGAGATTTTTAGGGTTTACAGCTAGGGACACAGGAAAGTTTAAATAAAAGTCGGTGAAAATTTGCCATGCTTCTAATGTTGTCAAAGCCGGGTATCTCTTCAATCACCTCAGTCGTCATCGTGTTTTAATCCGCCAAACACCTGCAACAAAAAAAGCCTTCTAATGCAAAGGGCCCTCAAACAACACACATAACAACAGAACGCGTCGCTGTGCAAAACACAGAGATTCTATATTAGGGCTTTTCATTGTAAATCAAAAGACACGACTCCAAGAACAGACAAAAGACAACGTCGTGCGTGATACTGGAAAAAATGAACTAATTAAGTGGATTGAAGCAGAGGATTTAATGGATGAATAGGTGGTCAACCCTGTTGACTAATGGTCAGGGTCATTGTGGCTGACAAAGGTGGTTAATGATGTCGAAATTATACGTCAAAACTTGATTTCATTAGACCACTTAAAGTTTGGCGGCGATCAACGGTAATCAACGCTTATCACCTCCTCATACGATCAATACGTGACCCGGTGGCAAACAATTAAGAGGAAAGACTAACTGGTCAACTTAAGGTGTTATAAGATTTAGACATAAAACAAAGCTCCCTTGGAAATATGTCGCGCTTCTGAAGGAGATGATAAACACACAGATTGAAAGAATTTGAAACTAGGAGTTTACAGAATAAACCCTCGTGAACACCAACCTTGCTCGGTACCAACTGCTGTTCGACTTGAACTTCTGCAAAGGCAACAGTTATCACGAGGTGATAAGTTTCAACGATTAAGACTTATGACAAGACTTTCTAGTAATTCTTCGTTATTACTTCGCTAAATTTCTTCAATTTTTCCGTACCCTTCTGACAGCTTCGCCGCACTTTTTTGCGGATCCACAGCAAAGCGCCAGATGGCGCACACAAAAAAGCCGCTAAGCACGTGAATCCATGGCCTGCAGACCGAGATCTCGGCAATCTGGCACCCATTATATAAGTTCTTCATAAAACGACGACGAAATCTATTTCCTTTAAAACTATTCAGCTAGCGCTCCCAAAAGAAGTGTTTTAAAACGTTGAGCCTGTGTGCCTCTTTTAAGCATTCAGGATACCAAATTTGTATGGCGTGAGATGAACTTGAACGTTACAGCCTGATCAACGTTCGCGACTGAAAATTGATTTACAAAATTGCAACGAGACTCTAAACGAGTAACAGATCTTGTCTCGCCAATCAGCTCGCACAGTATTACGAGTGTGATTAACAGTGGATCCTCCATGATGTCGGCAACCTCAGGAGTTAAAAAGTCTTCCCTGTATAAACAGGTCCCTTCGATGAGGGCCGAACTTAAAAAGGTGATATAGGAGTATTTTTAAAGATCGTGTCTTTCGTAGGAAGACGTCCTCTTGTTAGAGGTGCCTCATAAAGAGCCCCCCCCACGTGATTAAATTATAGAAACATCATTACCCTCTTCATCTCTGTTCTCGTCTCCGTCTTCGTCGTCGTCGTCATCGTCATCATCAATGTCGATCTCTTCGGGGTTGGCAACTGGTTCATTGTTTTCATTATCGCCTTGACTTGTTTCAGCCCTGAAAGATACCAAAAAAGAACTACAGTGAGTCGACTTTATGGAACTCAAATCTTTGTCATTTGAATTCTAAATTAAGCATGACATCATGATTATCAAACTCAATTTCACCCTCACCTAACAAACAAGACTTTCTCCTTCAACTTGGCAGCTACGTCTGTCTTAGCCTTAGCTGCTGCCACAGCCTGAGCCTGCTGTTCTAGTAGCTGCATGTCATCGGACACAGCCTCTTCTGTTCCTACTTAATCAGATGGAAAATAAATCGAATTTAGGGCAGAAAATGTGAGATCACCGAGAAAAACCATCAGGACAAGAATTAACACTTGGAATCCAAGAGGAGTCGTTGATACAATTGAATATTTAGCATCAAACTTGGACGCCTCACTTAAACAACATACCTGCTCCTGCAGATTTGCTAGCAGCCGCTGCCAACATTTGCGCAGACATGAAATTGACCTGCAAAAATAATTATAAGCAGTTGTTATCTGAGCAGTCATCCGAAGTACTTAAGTACACAAATATCTCATTTCGTAACTGGTTTTCATGTGACTGTGTTCCTTGCGAGTGATTCACTGAAATGACAATAATAATGACGTCGTTTAAAGAACCCACTGACCTGAGTATTAAACTGAGCCTGCACGCTCCTCTTAATACGTAACATTTCCCGGAAGGTATCTTCGTTTCCATGGCGAACCTCGAAGTCATGCCACACTTTCCAGAAAGTTGGAGTGGTCTGGAAACAAACGAAAATCATACTTTTAGTCTCATCCTTGATAAGTAAAAAACGCACTACAACAATATAAGAACAAACCCTTGGATCAGCCATTTGTGAAGAGTGCATGTAAATAGCTCTGGCTCGGTCAATTTCTCCCAGTTTGCGCTCAAGGTCGGCAAATCTGATGCACATCTCCCTGAAAAATTAAGAAAACCAGATTGGCGGGCTTCTTAATCACTCGCTTCAGCGGGAATACGCTTGACTCCGCACAACTCCAGTGTATCTGAGCACACACTAGGTAATCCAATAGGTTTCTTAACAAAACTTTGCAGTTAACTAGACCAGGCAATCAAAAGAAAAACTAGAATAAACCAAAAAATCTCAACCTGAAAACAAAATATATAAAAAAACTAACAATGTTCTTGCAATACCACAAAAACTTTAATAAAATGACAGATGAAGACAATAAACATTTTCTGATGTCAGCCATGGCTTTCGTTGGACATCTGACTCAGAAAAGGTGACTTGATATCTAATTTTAGCCGTTCAAGGAAAACATCATGCTGGGTTTAAATCTGTTTAAAAGAAATTTACCTGGCTTGTTCGTCTGGTAGCACTTCAATCGCTTTTTCATAGATTTCACGCGTGTGGGTGACACCGAAAATCTCCGCAGCTTGCTTGATATACAAGTTGAACATCTACGATGACACAACAACGAAAAATTAAAAGATTGCCTGTATCCGAAAAGTAGGTTCAAGAGACCATCCAATCCCCAAAATGGCGGCTAGGAGTAAAAATTCACCATGAAGAAAAAAGCAATCTTAGTGGTAAGAATGGATTGGTCTCAGCTGTAAGTATTTTTAGCAGGTGCAACCTTAGTAAGCTTGAAATAACATGACCTGGGGATAAATTATATCAGTCCTGAGAAGCTGTATTGTTTTCATATTCAAATTACTTGATATGTGCTGACCCAATACCTTATCACCTTTCCAACTATTTTCCAGATGTCACATAATGCTTTTCGTTATGATTACATGTCCCAAATACTGGTTGCTGAGAGTTTCTTCGGTGCCTAGTTTTTAAAACTAAATGTGCTCAAACTCGAAAGTGTAATGAAAATTTCAACTTTGATTACAGAAAATAGCAATCTTCTTAATTCATACCTCAAACTGCTCCTCTGGCAACACTGCTTTGGTAGATCTCTCGTAGATTGACATAGCGTGACGGGCAAGACCATGATTCTCTTCGAGTTTAGCGTACAATAAATAGAAAGCTGGAAAGGAAAATGTTCAAAACGTACAGAGGTTTGAGGGTAACGTTATAAGGGAATAAAAAAGTAATGGAATAAGACCGGAATAAATTTAATCTTACATTTAGCGAATTTGGCAGGACAGCCCTCAAGGACTTGTTCAAAGAGGTCTCGTGCACGCTCGAGTTTTGCGCCTCCCTTGGAAAAATGAAAAAAAAAATTAATAAATGAGCAAAAGTTACCAAGTAACCAACAAACCAATACACAGAACTGGGGGATAAAATACGAGAGAGCAATTCAAGGAAATAATTGAGCCAAACCTTACCAATAATCTACTAATCAAAACAAACGAATGAACATTCAATCAAGTTAATAAATATTCCTGGTCTTGAAAATAGCTTAGCAACGAAAAGTGACCAAACAGGAGAGTAACATAAAAATTATTAACCCAATGAAGATACCAAACTTACATATCTTTGAATAAACTTTGTGAGGTAGGTATTCCAGATATCAAACACATTCGGCCACTTGAACATCGACACTCCCCGCTCATATATCTAACAATAAAAAATATACACAAGTATTATTTTGTCGTATAATTTGCAAGATACTTGTACGTCGTTTATAATACGTGTGCCTGGACTGTTTCACTAAAATACTCAACTAAAGCTTGATAAGGCCGAGAACCTTGAAGGATTACGAACGCGCTTATAGGATTTAGCGTATGAACTTACCCATTAAAAAAAACTTCCCACAGCTATTCAAAGTTCCTATCTTAAAAGTTTAGAAAAATACCTTGCCGTGCAGGGAGTTAGAATTTATTGTAAACACAGATTTAAAAAAGACTACTACATGACGTATTCGCTGACCAGTCTTCCTTTTAATTCTCATGACAGTTGTTTGTTCGATTCAAATTCTTTTTACCTCTTCGCACGAAACGGCAAAGAAATGTGACCAGCCCGTCGAGTTTTACTGACCTTGAAAGCTTCCTCAAAGTAGCGATGTTCCTCAAGAAACGTACCAAAGTTGATAATAATCTGAGGAGTTGCTATCCGCAGATCTAGAATGCGATTATACACAGCTTTGGTGGACTGAAAACATGTACAAATAATAAAAAAAAGGTTTGAGAAACGTAATAAAGCAGACATCTTGGGACATCTCAAGCAAGCTTTCACATGAAAAAAAAATTAAAAAAAGAAAGGTTTGAAAATAAAATTTTCATGATAGTAGTTTGAATTGCTAACAACCTTTACGTATACAGCTTTCTCGACACAGGTTAAAAAAGCGAATCGAATGAGTAAATGCGTAAGCTTGGTTGTCGAACGAGGAAATATTTGATTTTATTAGCTGCACGTGCGTTTGCATCAGCAGTTACACATACGTTT